CGAGCTCGGGAGTCCAGTAGCACGATAGAGCTGCTCGTAGGTCTTGATGCCGTCGCGCTTGGGGTTCGCGGGCGCCCACTCGAAGTCCATGACGCCCTCGATCTTGATGGAGCTCTTGTCGAAGCAGGTTCATCCTTGGCAGTTCGTAGATAGCGATGGAGGAGCCTTGTGTCATGCGGGCGACGTACTGGTCGTCGGCTGACCACTTGAACGTTGGCCATTGCATCTTCTTCTTGACGGGGTTGCCCTCGGCGTCGGTGCCCGCGGGCACGTCGATGGTCTGGAACGACCGCAGCGGCTTGCCCGTGGCGATGTCCCAGATGATGTAGTTCTTGCCGTCGTCCTCGAGCGAGAGCGACGGGACGGGGTTGTTCTCGTCGACCTGCAGCGGGCGGTGCGACCAGGTGGTGAGGTACTTCTCGCCGGGTGAGTAGTCGACCAGGTTGACGCCGGGATGTGCGAATCGCTTCTGTCTGCTCCACGCCTTGCCACCCCACAGCTGCACACCCTGCGCGTGCATCGATGTGAGATAGGTGCCGCGCGGCGACCACTGGATGAAGGACTCGGTCCAGTTCTCGCGGTCGACAATCTGCTCGGGCGTCTCCTCCTTCTCGTTCCAGAAGATGCCCACCTTGTCGGCGCGGTAGAAGGCCATCTGGTCGCGGCTGTCGGGGTCGCCGAGCCACCACCTCAAGTGCTCCTTCTGCTCGAACGGCGCAATCTCGGGGGCGTGGTACTCCTCGTCGATGCGGCCCTCCTTCCCGTAGCGGTCGATGTCGGTGAGCTTGTTCACGGCCATGGTGTGCTTCTTGTCGAGCGCGGTTCCGTGCAGCTGCTTGACGGCCGCGACCGCCTCGGCGGGCGCGCTGTACTCGACAAAGGCATATCTTTGGCAGTGTTAGTATGTGCGTATGCCGCCCACATTCCCGATTCCCGCCAAACATACCCCTCAGTCTTGCCATTGTCTCCCACGGGCATGTGCACGCCGTCCTCCTTGACCTTGCCCACCGTGTTCAGTTTGCGCAGCACAAACTTGACCAGCTTGCCCTTGCTGTCCTCGGGCACCACGGGCAGGCCGTCAATCACCACAAACGCATCGAGTCCCTCGTCGAGGCGCACTTGGAATTGTTCTTCAATGTCGGTAAAGTCGATGTTGGACTCGTCGAACTCGTCGTCGTCGAGCGGCAGGTTCTCGTAGGATGGCGCCATGGTTGCGGTTGTCGTGTGGCTTTGGTGGGGTCGCTGGCTCGTTATCACTTTCGCGAGAGAGCGTCAAAATTCAGCGTGCTGCCCTCGTCGCGCGCTAGTGGGGTGTCACGTGCCGTGGCTTCGTCTCAACCTTGGAACCACTTCCGGCTCAGCCACGACATGTGAGTCACGGTAACGAGACGGATTGCATTTTGTTGAAGTAAATAATACATCCTAATCAAGCATGCATGCCATGTCAGAGTCAGGCGCTGGTTACACTCAACAAAGACCACGGGTGATGCCTTGACTGACTGACTGACTGACTGACTGACTGACTGACTGACTGACTGACTGACTGACTGACTGACTGACTGACTGACTGACTGACTGACTGACTGACTGACTGACTGACTGACTGACTGACTGACTGACTGACTGACTGACTGACTGACTGGACTGACTGACTGACTGACTGACTGACTGACTGACTGACTGACTGAGTCAAGAGACCTCATGATTCTGCCATTACTCATTACTATGTAGCTGACAGCCTAAGCCAAGTTGAACACACGCATAATATCCACATGAAAGCAGTCGTGACTCAGCCGTCTGACTGTTCGCCAACACATCTCTATTTCTCCACACCATCTCCTGTCAACCCCGGAAATATGGTACATCGAATCGAAGCATAATGAAACAAGGCAGTCGTGAAAAAGTGTGAATCTCGAATCGCTGCCGCCCGCCCTCGTCTACATGGTCGTCAATTCCGTGTCGCTTGAACGCCAAATAACATAACATCGGCATCAGCCTGTTGACGCCCATCGGACGATCCCACTACACGCCGCCCACGGAAGGAAAACGCTAGATAACATAGTTTGTAAGCACCGGCCTCGACTAAAAGCCGCGCTTACCTTCAGATGCTTCGGAACTGGGGCTCTTCACCAACCTGCCGCTGGCTGAGACGCGCTTCTGCAGTCGAGCTTCGCGCTCGCGAGCCCTCTCTGAAGGTGTGCTGCCGTTGCCCGCCATGATATTGGGCAGGGCGCTTGGTAACTCTGCAGAAGAGTTGTGCAGAGCCACAGGCGCAAGTCGCTTGCCTGCACGCTGTTCCGTCTTGAAGTCGAGATAGGAACGTGCCGATGTGGTGAGTGGGATGGGTGCTGGCAGCGCAGGAAGTTCAGCTCCGTTCTGCAGTAGCAGTTCAGCCACTGAAAACGGCTTGCGAGCAGGCTGTGGGGTGGCTGGTCGAGCTGCGGGGCCTGGAGAGGTTGCTGGAGAGGCAGATGCAGAAGGCGACGCGGGATCAGCTGCCGCAAGTGCTAAGAAGACAACATGTGTGCCGCGAGATCGATCACGCGAATCCGGGCTGGCTCGAAGCGCCAATGCGTACAACACGCTCGCAATGTCATTCTTCTTCACAGAAGCTAACAACATGTCTTCGGGATTGTTGTAGTGGGACATCGTGGGCGAGATGGGCGAAACATATGCCCGGTCCGAGTACTTGGCCGTGATGAAGTGTAGACGCTGCTCTCGCGTTGACATCGGTCCAGGCTTTTGCGCGGGGTCAAGCCGTGCCTCCCAGATCAGGTTGCTGATACGGTTGCCAATCTTCAGAAGTATCTCAACAATATCTGGCGTGAAAGACGTGACGTCCAATGTGAGCGAGCGCACTTTGGTGATGTGTGTTCCGAGCGATCGATGAATGCCACTACACTCGATGCATATGATGATACCGAGATTGATGGACACCCAGTCGACTTTGATCTCAGACCCGCAGTCTGCGCAAACCTTGTTGCTGGGCTCTGCGTCACGCACCTGCTTGAGTAGCTTGCCTTCTTCTCCAGTGTTGCTCGGCTCCCTACCGTAGCTGGGGCGATCGCCGACGGTCGCGTGTCGTGCAGGGGCCTTGGAGTTGTAGTTGTTACGATGACTTGACAACGAAGGACTCTTGCCGGTCACAGACTGATGCAATATCACGTCGAGTTTGGCCAGGCAGAGAGTCTGTAGAAGGCCTGTCGCTCTTACCGGCAGTTTCTACCGCAGTCTGCAGGGCGTTGTTGACTGCATTGATCCACGATTTCATGTCGTCCTCATTTGTAGCCTGATACACGCGAGTGTACTGTGGTGTGATGACCTCGAAGCAAAATCGACGGTCTGCATTCCGCGCTTCACGCACCGAGGCCATGCGAAGGTCAATTGGCTCCATGTGTAGCTCAAGGCTCTGCTTCCAGTTGGTGTACTCAGAGAGCTTGCCTTGGTCGAGAACTACCCAGAATCTGATTTCCGTTAGCTAAGGTCCACGAAATAAGCTGCTCTGGAACTTACTTATGCCATGCTTGTTTATTTAAGCCCTTGGGATCAACATGGCTTCCTGGTCGACTCAACGCCCACAGCAGACCTTCCTTACGATGGGCACCGTGGATACCTTCGGGGATAGCGGTGAGGTCCTTCTCTTCGAGATCTCTTATTCCCTTGAACTTGTCTGGGAGAGGAGTTACAGTCGCCAGGCTAGCACGCCTCGCTTCCGGGCTCTGTGGAGAAGTCACAGTCGGGACACTCCCTGTTGATGCACTTTGGGGGTGGGCTGACTGTGCTGTGAAAGACTCGGCCCTGTGTTTGCTTTGCGGCCAGGGAGATCGACTTCGGAGTTGACGGATGTTTTTGCCGCGGTGCCATTCACACCGACTGCAGACGCAATCTGCTGAACAGGCGGCTCTTCGAAGGTCTTCTTAGTCTTTTCCAGCGCCCGCCTCTTTTCCTCTCGCTCAGTCCTCTGTATCTGAAACTCCTTGTCCGCTTCTTTGACCTCAAGACTCAGCGCTTCAAGCTGCGGCAACATGGTGTCGATCTTCTTTGCCGTGTCCAAATAGTACTTCGCCTGCGCATCTGCATATCGAGTAAGATTAGACAGAATGTCTTGGTCCTTCCTGCCACCATGCAGATCTTGCATAAACGAGGAATAGTCGAAACGCTTTAGCTCAAAGTTCCGCCTCTTGGTCTGATACTTGGAATCGGTTTCAGCGCGCTTCTTCTCCTTCAACGAATCCGTCCTCTGTCCAAGGTAGCGGCCGAGATATTGGTAGTAGTCTTTGCTCTCTTCTTCGAAATCCTTTCTCTTGGTTTCGGCCTGTTTGATGTCGATGTTGTACAGTTTGTGTATTGGGTCAATAATCGACTTCTGTATGTTGGTCGTGTTGGTGCGCTCGTATGCCAGAATTTCCTTTGCAATCTTGTCGAAGTAGTTGTCGATCGCGGGTTGCACAGCGTTCGCATTTGACGCAGACGCCTCCTTTAGTGCATCGATGAGGTCTGACATTGCGTTGTTGCAATTGACTTGCGCCTCCAATGCGGACTCGGCCCGCTTCAGGACCTTCTTCCATCTTGTGCGCATGTTGCCGGTCTTTTGCTCCAGGGACTTCATGGTGGCCCTGAAAAGAGGGCCATCCTCAGTCTGGCTCAGATCTTCTCCAGGTCGCGACACATCTAACCTCAACGGCATGCTGTTGCTTGTGAGAGTCGTATTCTGGCTCGGTACCAGTGCCAGCGCATTCTCGGGTATAGATTCGAAAGTGGGCGATTTCGGAGGGATGTTATCCCACTCTCTACCCTCGTCCGCTGAGTCGCTGACACGTGAGTCGATTGACTGTGTGGAAGGCACGCGCAAGCGAGGCGGGACACTCAGATCTAGTCGTGGCGATGGTGATTTCGGGCTCTGGCTGAGTCGCACTGTGTCTATCAGAGTCAGTCGCTAGTTATCTTGCAGAGAATTAAGCTTACTTTGCACCCAGAACGCGAAGTTCGCCAGCGTTTCTAGCTTGTGCGCTCGCTGGTCATACTCGACAAACTTCATGATGTTAGTTGTATGCGGTGTGTGCAGAATGTATGGTACAAACACTGCAGCTGGTGCGCCAACCTCCACCGCGAGACTCTGTAGCCTTGGGAGGGGTCCATTTCCAAGACCACTGAAACTGCACTGAAGTGCTGCCATCAGTCGAATAATCGCCGACCAATTCGACCTGCGGATTCTTGTGAAGATTTGGGTTCGCCTGAAACTCCCTGGTCACCAAGTTCTCCAGGTCCTTCGAGCTAGACGCAAAGACGAAGGTCAGGCCATTGATGACCGTGTCGACCAAACCCGTGGGTGCGATCGTTGACGCATTGTTTACATTATATATGCTGGGTACCGCAAGATGCTGTCGAATGATGAAGGTAAAGTTGAACGTGAGCTCTTCGTCGTTCGGTAACCGAATAAGGAAAGACGGTGGTCCGTCGCTTGGTGATGATGATTCGGGGTCCTACAAACATTGTTTAGCATCGCAGCCACAGGGGACCTCTGAAACCATACCTGGATGTAGTCTATGACACTCTCGTCGCCAAACTCTCGTCGTGCGCCATACCGTGTTGCGGGGAAGGCATTAGGAGTAATGTTCAGCAGCGTGCGGTTGCGGGCATTTGTGATGTTGACAGAAGCGACAGAGACTGGGGCCAGTTAGCAGCGCATTCCATAATACCCTAACTGAGGGATGCTACATACATCGCGTCTGGTCGCGCAGATAAAGCGCGCCCTCTTCGCCTGCTTTGCTATTGACAGCCCCCATGCCCAAGGACCGCGGGAGAGCTTGCTTGAGATAGAAAGAGTCCCTCGGGGTAGCTCACGTCGCACTAATCGAGGTAGACAAGCACTGCAGCATGCCTTGGTCCCAGGAGGCAGGAGGGAGAAGGGTCTCAAGAATATGGCGCCGGTTCCGCTGTAATCGAGGTGGAGCTTAATTAATATGGGGTCGCTACCGGCGCGCGCTTCGATCGTGGAGGGGAGCGCAACGCGCTATGATTAGAGCACGCGGGGTCGAGTCGAGTCCGAGTAAAAGGTATATTTGGGGGTGAATAAAGCTTGTCAAGTAAGACTGAGAAGCTGCGCAATGCTTCGGGATTTTACAGCGCCAGTCGAGTGCGGTGGGATGTTGGAGAATAGAGGGGCTGCTAAAGGCGGCAGGAGATCGTTGGTTCGCTATGGTGGGCTGTGTCGATCAGACAGGGCAAGAAGGACTCCTGCAGTTGCAATGCTTCACTGCCCACGCCATTGACATGTGGACACGGGTCACGCAGGAACGTCAACTGGCGGGACACGGGACAAAGCCGTTGGCCGCATGCTTGCATGATTGTGCTGCACAGCGCTGCCTGATGACTCCAGCCACAGCTTGCGTCCCGTTTCTCGTCACTTGGACACAGGCAGGCAGAAGTATTGATTGAACACGCAATAACGTCTATTTCTATACCAGACCAAAGTAGTGTTGTAAGCATTGTTGATCAGCTGCAGAAACAAACATTCACTGAACCATAATCTGCTTGTTATTCATACTTGAGACCTTTGACCTGGAAAGACGTCCCCGCGATTTCCAGCAGCGCCCAATCACGCGGAGCTCCTCCTGCAGCAGGAGACCCTGAAAGTAGCCAGGAACAGATGATATCATGCAGGTGCACTCCTCCACAGCTTGGCCTTGAACACCAATCCTCTCATCTCGCCTTGACCTGAAGAATCCCTTTGATTTCCCTTGCAAGACTTAATGCATTGTACTCAATTTCCGATCGCTCGGTGTTGGCGCCTGACATATGTCGGGGAACCAAAGGGGGGAATGATCATCATTAGGCCGTTTTCTCAATCCTGCCCAATCAGAACCTCCGCCTTTTCGCCGAACTTTTGACTTCGAGATGCGCCTCGCCTTCGTCATCAAGCTTCGAGCATAGTCGCAAGACAGCACGCGACATAGTTTCCAGGTCTTGATTGATCGTGGAGCATCGCATCGCCTAAATTTGAAATCAGACGAATCGAGTCACTTCAACGTAAGTGCAAGTCAAGTGTGCGTGTAGCACCAACGTACTGATTCGTCTTCAGACATTGCCGACGCAACAGGAAGAAAATAATCAAGATAGTCTTCTTGAAGCTCTATTACAATCGGGCATAATTTTCCCATTGTAATCTTGCGACGCAAATCATGGCTCTCCGCCTTCCTACGCTCCGTCACTGCTTTCGCCAGTCACTCTCAAACCCACGCTTCACACAACGCCGTTGGGCGCAAGTTCAAGATGTCCGCCTACTTGCAACACATGGCACCCAAGAGCGCGTATTGGCCAAATACAAAGAGAAGCTCGAGCGAGTAGCCAAAGAGAAGGGCTTGAATGATGTCTCAGAGCTCAAGGAGCAATACAAAGACAAGATCGAACAACTACGGAAACAGGCAATTGTTCCTGGCGCTACGGGGCCACTGACACCACCACCGTCACCCGAGTTGAACGCATCGCAAGCATCAACATCACCGAGTGCGAAGTCGCCATGGCCGTCACCGCCTCCTCCACCAACGCCTCGAGACTCAACAGCACCACCCCCCGGCGTCAAGACACTGAACTCCTTCCTCGACCTAGAAAAAGTCCGTGACCTTCCATTGAAAGAGGTGCAAGCTCTCTGGCGCTTGAGACATGCAGGAAACCCACAGTCGATTCACTTTGCCGTCCCCGCGAATGTTTTCCGATCACTCCTGCAAACCGCAAAACAACATCCCGCATTTGTCCTTCCCGTGCCACGCGAAATTCCCGTCGAGGGCGCCGAAGCATCCCCAGAAGCTCCGAAAACCCAACAAGCCGCGGAGCTGCACTACCTGCAATTCGCGCATCCGCATGTCGACACCACTACTTTGCTCTTCACGTCGTTGGCGGAGTTTAAGCTGCGCGGCGAGTTCGCGAGCCCGCATACCACAGTTACTTTCCACCAAGAGCTGGCGGACAGTCACGATGTGGTGCTGGGTCAGGGACTGGTGATTGAGAACAGGGGCGTTAGCCTTGACGAGGCGAGGTGGTTGGTTATGTGCATGCAGAAGTTCTATGTGCAGAGCGAAGAGGGCAAGGGTAGAGGGGAGTTGCTGAATATGTTCACGAGGGGCGACAGTGGATTTCAGGTGGAGAGGCTGATTGATGAGGCGGAGAAGATATTGTAGATGGTGAGTTGGATGGGTGATGAGTGCATGATAGACATGATTGTATGGCACAACGACCGTTCTGTCCACGTCATCCCTCAATAGGGTCATCAGATTCCGAGTCTTTGGGTGTGCAAGGTAATACACTACAGGAAACTCAGATTTGTTTCTCAATCTTGTGTTGTGATGTGGTTGGTCGATTGGACTGGCATCTTTAACTCTTTCGGCTACATTGACCGACCTGATTAACCTCAGGTACCTCAAAACAGATGAGTGGTTTTTGTAATCAATGGCTGGAGTTGTAGAAGGCAGCTCAAATACGCGTATCGCAGCAGGCGTTTCTTGTTCACATCGCTATGGTACGGTGAGTATCGTTTCACGCAAAACAACGGCAGATATATGTAATTTTGCAGTCGGTTCAGGCCATAAGACATAAGATCAGTTGAAACGAGGCCATAGGTCCCCTCATTAACTGATTTGCCTAGCGACACTTCGTGTATCGTGACCAGAATGCGGCTGTGTTGAACCATGTCATTACCAATTCTAGTCGGCAAATGACGCTAGTAATATATCGGCCAATAAGGATTGTGTGCACTGCGCTGAGGGCTGCTCTACGATCTTGCTATGATGGTACCTTCTCCCCTTTGGGAATGCCGACTGTCACGACACAATGCGTAACAATATGCTACACGGCTTTGCTAGGTCGCAACTACCTGTACTCAACTTTCGCTCGTTAATTAGCAACCCATCTGTCTGCTGCACTACTCAACAACCGCTCTCAAGTTCTGCTAAGCCAATAGCTGGCATTGCCCGGAAGAGCAATATCAGCAGCATACGTCGATATAGCGCCCAGGTCAAAATGAAACAGAAGGAAATAGCTAATGACGAGGTCGCCCAAATGACAACCTGCGGTAAAACCTGCGACAAACAATCTTTGTTCTCCTACACGGCAGGACGATTTCTCATCAACGAAGACATGCGAATGGAGGAACGTCATGTTGAGTTCAACGACGAAGCTCTGCAGCGTGCAGCCGAAGCCTCCGTTGGCAACAAACATGGCAAGGTTGTCAGTACGAAAAAGCTAGCCGAGGGAGGCTTTAATCGAGTCTTTGTTCTCAAGTTGCAGGACGGTTTCGAACTGATCGCCAAGATCCCATACCATATAGCCCGACCAGAATATTTCGCTACCGCTAGCGAGGCCGCCACTCTTACGTTCCTTCGGTTGAAAGGCATACCTGTCCCGGAAGTATATAACTATTCCGCAACAGTAGAGAATCCTGTCGGCACTGAGTATATCTTTATGGAGAAATCTCCAGGGGTTTGCCTCGCATCCAAATGGGTGACCCTTCAAGACCCTGAGATACGGAGACTTGCGCATAGCTTCGTTGAATTGGAAAAGAAACTTTTCGAGATTCCTTTCAGCGCCACAGGTAGCTTGTACTTCAAGAAGGACATCCCTTCTAGTCTACAGGCTCCACTGTACGCAGAAGAAGGTGCTACCGAAGCAGATCAATTTTGCATCGGGCCTATTGCCGACTATATGTTCTGGTACGGTAGAAGGGCTGGGCTAAAGTTGGACCGTGGACCATGGAAAAGCCATGTTGAATATCTTCAATCGATAGCAAAAAAAGAGATAGATTGGACGCAGCGTTACGGCAGACCGATGGAACCCGACTTCCCCCACAACGATTTGGGACTGGGAGTTCAACGCCCAGAGGACTATCTCAAGCTTTTAGAGAGCTACCAGTTGTTGACACCACACCTGCTGCCGAAAGATCCCGCACACCATTTTAACCAGCCTACTCTTCGTCATCCTGACCTCACCCCCGGTAACATGTTTATAACACCCGAGACCGGTCGGATCTCATGTCTTATTGATTGGCAGCACGCCATCATCCAGCCACAGCTCCTCGCCGCTGGCTACCCTCGCGCATTCGAGAACCCAGACGACGAGCTTTCCCCTGAATTAGTGGAACCTCAGCTTCCGGAGGACTTGGCATCCTTACCAGCAGAAGAGAAAGTGGTGGCACGCGAGCTCTATCGCCGGCGTCTCCTCTTCTTTGGTTACCGCGTGCTCAACGGCCATTTCAACCAGCACCATATCACGGCTCTACGTGACCCTCTTCTTCTCGGTCGTCAGATGCTCGTGGATAGGGCTGGCCGTCAGTGGGAAGGCAATCTCATAACTCTTAAAGGAGCCATCATACGCGCCGCCGAATTCTGGGAGCACTTACCCGACGTTGACGATATTAAGTGCCCGATACGGTTTGATCAAACTGAACTGGACGAGTTCGCGGAGAATGAGGACAGCTGGCTGAAGATGAGCGTAGCCGTAGAGCAGTGGCAGAAGAGAGTGTGTAATATGACCGAGGAAGGGTGGGTCCGAAACGAGGATTATGAGGAAGCAAAGAAAAAGCTTCAAGACCTGAAGGAAGAGATTCGACTACAGTGTGAAGGGGATGAGGAAGACATTCAAGCGTTCCGAAGAGGCTGGCCGTTCCGAGATCGCGAAGAAGTTGATTGAAACTTGAGAGGGATTGTTTGTGCAGTGGCATCATGATCGAATCCTAGGCTGAGATGAGGCCGACGACGTCCCGCATGGACAAAGCTGTGATAGAATAGATTGAACGGCAAGAATACCCAAGTTGAGAGGGGACCGGAACTGCGATCCTGACTGGGATAGCGCGTGCCACCTTGGTGTTAGGCGCCGGCGTTCGGCAGAATCTTTCTGTGTTTTCAGCGTTGTGAAGGTCGCTAAAAAATGTTTGGGCTGGGTCGTTGCATCCCATGTTGCTGGACGGGTGCAAGGAGGCGGATGAGGCGAGATGTTACCATTGAATATTCTACCGTGGAAAGATACTAGCACAAGATATCCTGCTGTGCACAGTCAGGGGGAAAACACATGTTGTCCAATCCCCAGATCTTTCAGGTCACTGTTCTCACACTCAGATATCAAGATATCAATCCATTCATGATACAAATCTTACAGAGCTCTTCTCATTCCATACGCTCTACCTTGCCTTCTCCTTATTTCTCGGCGGCCCTCCTCTTCGCCCTGACTTCCGCCTTCCTCCTCTCACCACCATCAACCTTGTGGCCCCTCCGCTCTTCCCAAATGCCCTCCTTTAACTTTATCCTCGCTTTCAGGCCATCGCTCCCCTTCACAGGCTCCACGAAACTGCCCTTGATCGTCTTCGCACCCTTGACAACCACGCCTTGCACCCTCGGTAATGTCTCGGGCGGTGCATCAGGCGCCTCAGCACCCACGGGCACATTGACGACGAATCTCCTCGTGCCGGGATCATGCGTGGCCGTCGCCGCTGCGGATCTCGGGCTAATCGTGTTTCCGAGCGTTGGGTTTGGTGGTACGGGGGCTTGCACGATTTGCAACTCCGCCACGCCGTCCGATACATGCTTGCAGTCGCCTCCAATGCCATATTCGCCATTCCTAAACTTCTCTCTCCAGTGGAGCAGATACCGCCTTGAGCGTGCGGGCTCGACGCCGAGCTCTTTTAGTTGCGGGGATGTGAGGGTGAAGAGGGCTTCCCACGAGGGGATCTTGGTTGCGTGGGCGGACAGGCCGCGGCCGATGGCGCTGAGGAAGGCGGTGTGGTCCGGGATGAAGGGTATGGGCTTGGGCACGGGGCGCATGGGGATGGAGTGCTGGAGGTTGCGCACGCATGTCTTTGGTATGGAGACTGCGGCTGTCGCGTTGAGGAGAGGGCGTCTGAGGATCATGATGGCGGTGCTGTAGATGAATTAGCGGATTTATACAAGCAGAAGGGGCAATTGAATCGTACACCGTGGAAGAAATTCGTAGTTTCAATGCGCCGTCAACACCGGTCGATATACGCGAATCGATGTCTTCAGCGTGGTTGCGGCCGTCGTCAACTTTTCGGAGGAGCCAAGACGCCCGTGCTCCACCACAGCCGCATCATCGCGCCCCACCACCGCTCCGCGCCCAACAACCACACCTCACGACACCTCATCGCAGTAGTAGAGAGTCTCCTATTGCACCTTCACACCACAATGGCCGCCCCCGAAGTCCACCACCTCTTCCACCACCCAATTGCGGACCATTCCTTCTCTGCCGACCGTCAGACGCTGGCCGTAGCTCGCGAGAACAACGTCGACCTGTACGCGAGGTCGGGCAGTGGCTTCAAGCTCCAGGATGAATTGACGGGCCACGACAAGACGGTCACGGGTGTGGACATCGCGCCGAACTCGGGCAAGATCGTGACGTGCTCGCAGGGTGAGATGGGAGCTGTGGAAGCAGCACACCAGGCAGCTAACGACGTGTCCAGACCGCAATGCCTACGTCTGGGAACCCTCACCGCAAGGATGGAAGCCCACTCTAGTGCTTCTCCGTATCAACCGCGCTGCCACATGTGTCCGCTGGGCTCCCTCCGAGACCAAGTTCGCTGTCGGCTCGGGCGCCCGCCTGATCCCCGTCTGCTACTTTGAGGAGGAAGACAACTGGTGGGTGTCCAAGCACATCAAGAAGCCCATCCGCTCCACCGTCACGTGCGTCGCATGGCACCCGAACTCGGTCCTGTTGGCAGCCGGCTCGACCGACGGACACGCGCGTGTCCTGTCTTCCTTCGTCAAGGGCGTCGATGAGCGTCCAGAGGCTTCGGCGTGGGGCGAGCGCCTCCCCTTCAACACCGTATGCGGCGAGTTCTTGAACAACACTGCTGGATGGGTGCACAGCGTCGCCTTTTCCCCATCTGGAAACGCCCTTGCTTTCGCTTCCCACGACAGCACGCTCACCGTTGTGTACCCCGGCGGCCCAGATCAGCCTCCCAACGCCGTTCTCAGCGTCAGCACCCAGGTTCTTCCCTTCATGTCGCTTGTGTGGAGCACCGAGGACGAAATCATCGCCGCGGGCTACAACTGCGAGGCTTACCGTCTGCAAGGCAATGAGCAGGGATGGCAACTCGCCGGCTCGCTCGAGTCCAAGGGCCGTCCTGGACTGACTGAGGCACGTGAGGAGAGTGCACTGAACATGTTCAGGCAGATGGATCTGAAGGGCAAGTCTGGCGGCACCGATGACACCAAGCTCAAGACGGTGCACCAAAACACCATCAACACGATCCGCAGCTTCCAGGAAGACGGTGGAAACGTGACCAAGATTAGCTCCACTGGTGTCGATGGACGGGTAGTCATCTGGTCATTGTAGATTCAAATCACAAATACATAGATAGAGGACTTGATTGTCCTTTCTACCAATCCACAATCAAACTCCATACCCAACAACTTCTCCCTCTCCCTCCCCCTTCAAACCCTCCACATTCCCCCCACCCCATCCTCATCTCCACCTCGCCAAAATAATTCACTCCACCCACCGTCTCAAACCCCAGTTTCCCAAACAACCCCACACTCGCCCCATTCTCCTGCCCGATCTTGACCCGCAGGTACTTGATATACCGCTCGCTCCGCTCGTCGCTGCCCAATCTGTACTCTTCGAGAATGGACGAGATGTTGGAGGAGATGTAAGACAGGAAAGCGCGTACGGCTTCTTGCGCGAAACCTTGTCTGCGGGAGGACTGTGCTGCGATCATGATTTCGATTTCGCCTACGACTGCCTTTTTTCCCTGCATCCCGTCTACTTCATTCTCTTCTTCCTCGTCTTCGTATAAAAATAAGTTTACGTCGCCGATCATTTTGGTGGGGGTGTCGTGGATTTCTGATTTGATGGCAGGGGATGAAGCGGAAAGGGATGGGGATGGTGCGAGACAAATTATGAATGTGAGTTTGTCGTGATCTAGTCGCCAGGATTGTTGCATTGCGTGTTCTTCGGACAGGGTCAGGGGGGAGGATGCGGTGGCTTTTTGGATTTCCTGGACAGTGTTAGTAGGGAGATGAAGAAGAAAAGGGACGTGGTTTAAAGAAAAGCAAGAGTGGGATGAGAGGAGGGCATGTAGTGTACTTACTTCATCTTGCATCCATGAGTGGTAGGTGGGCACGTGGTGCGTGCAGTATGGCACGAGGAGGATGCGTGGGGTGAGGATTGCTGGAGAGATGTTAGGTGGGTGAGAGGGAGAAGGAGGGGATGTATGATTACCTTGGTGTTCGTTGATTTTCATGATGGTAATTCTTCTGGATTAAGCGATGTGTGGTTGGTTATGAAGGCCAGTAAAGTGACGGCTAGTGGACTATCCAGAAATGTTGAACTTCCAGATGATCGACTTAATCGGATACTAAACACTGCTGCTGTGGGCGGCAATGGAGTTTTGCAGTAATAGAGATCCGATACTGATCAGACAGCCTAGATTCTAATTATCAGCGTCTTGTAATTGAAAGCCAATACTTACACATACCCGGATTGTATATGGTTGCGAATCTGATTGGTGGATGTCGAAATCTTGCGTAGAAAAACCTACCATTTTCGATTTTACATGGTATCGATCTAGGCTGGATGAGGCAAGGCCGACTTTACATGGATGTACATCAGCTTACCTCTCCCACCATCACTACGACAACATCCCATACAAACCTCACCCAAACCCTCAAAAACACAGGTCCAAGCGTTTCAACCACAATCCAAAAACCTATCCCAAGAAAGAGAAGGAATTCAATAATGCAATAATCCCCAACCAACAATGTCCCACACAAACATCCTCATCACCGGCGGCTGCGGCTTCCTAGGAACGTCCCTCATCTCCGCCCTCCTCGCCACAAACCGCTACTCCATCACCGCAATCGACATCACCCCACCTTCCCTTGGCACCCGCACCTTCCCCACCACCGTGCGCTATGTGCGCGCCGACGTTCTGGACCCCTCTGCCCTTGCAACCGTCTTCGCCGAAGCCCAGCCCGCGATTGTGATCCATGCCGTTGGCGTATTCCCCGTCGGCGTTGCGAGGTACAGCATGAAGGGTAAAGATGCGGTGTTCAAAGTCAACGTCGAGGGCACGCGGAATGTTGTAAATGCCTCGCGCGAGTGTGGGGCGAGGGGCCTGGTGTATACGAGCAGCACCACCGTCGTCGTCGACGATCTCGCAAATGATTTCCGCAATGTGGATGAAAATTGGCCCGCGGGGAATGTGGATACGAGTTACGGGCAGAGTAAAGCGCTGGCGGAAGAGGCTGTGCTTGCTGCGAATGACGAGGCGTTCAAAACGTGTGTTTTGCGTGTGGCGCCGATGTTTGGAGAGAACGATACCTTATTCATACCGACGGTGCATGGGTTGATCGCGGCGGGGCAGACGGCCTTTGTCATTGGGACGGCGGAGAATTTGCAGGATTTTGTGTATGTGGGGAATGCAGCAGATGCACATGTCCTTGCTGTTGCGAACTTGTTGAACTCTCAGACTGTGGCAGGAGAGGCACTGTTTATATCTAATGGCGAGCCGATATCGTTGAGGGATTTGTGTCTGGCGATTTGGAAGGAGTTTGGGCATGTGCCAAAATACAGTGTTCGGATACCCGAGGGCATGGCGTGGTGGATTGCGGTGATCACGGAGGTGGCAGGCTGGGTGACGGGGATTGAGGGCACATTGAGTAGGGGAGTTGTTAGCGAGGCGTGTAGGGATCGGTATGTTAGTATTGTCAAGGCGGGACGGTTGCTGGGATATCGTCCGCGAGTTGGGCTGGTGGAGGCGGTGAAAATCAGTTGCGAGGTGAGTTTCGCAGTGTTTGTATGCTGGTTAGATAGGATGCTAACGATTGTGTACAGCATTATCAGAAAAGGATCCAAAGTCGTTCGGTCGTATCAAGAAATGCAGAAGAGTGGAGATGACGTATTTTGACGGGATGCAGCTCTATCGCTCAGTCCGCATCTACCGCTGAAACAGGTCCAATACAGTAGCTAGCAGGATACAACAACGCGGAATTTGTGCTAAACGTCGAGGACTCTACCCATTGCAAATTTCTAAGTATGCCCTATGGAGGTTACGCAAGATCGGGGAGAAGGATGACTATGAGTTCAATGCATTTTTTTTGCCAGCACGCAATTTTACTACACAGCCCGGTCGAGCAAGTTGAAGGCACCTCGAATTCGATGACTACTTTTCTACTAATTTGCCTATTTCTTATTCTTCAAGAGTTAGTTCACACGGCATAAGTACTGTCCTACAACATAAGAAATAAGAGTAAGCATACATATCTCTTCACTTGCGAAAGCTCTATTCGAAGCTCTACAGAAGACTTCTAGGCAAGTCAATATCACGACTGCGTTCGCGCGGTCAAGTAAGAAACCTGGCTCAACGACCTCGCGAAGTAGCAAAATCGAAAAGCACCAAATCCTGCTATTTCTTGAAGCAGTTTACCAAACTACTCTACGCGCTCAATCTCCTTCTAAATCTACTACCTATGCTTTATTTCTCTGAACTTGCTACCTACCCTATTGTGACTTGCTCTTTCGCCAAATCAAAATAGTGCCATTTCGCTAAATCGAAACAGTCTGCTCTTTTGCTAAACTAAAACAATGCTCTTTTGCAAAATTAAAACTACACTCTTCGTAGCCTAGGTTTGATGTGCCCCAGAGTCGTTAATCAGATGCTCCAAGGACATATTTCAGAAGACTTGAGGGTCATGTTTGACACGGTGATGCTAGAGTTTGAGGCGATTTTGCATTTTTCGGGGAAAACTGCAACTTCTCAAGGCTAGATATGTAGAAAGGAGGGAATGAGAGAGCGCTGACAGAGTTAACGGCACGTCATTTCGTTTGACTTGGAGATAATTCTAGAGCTCAGTTTACCAATCTGTCGATTAAGCAGACCACGACACAAGAGCGTTGAATGAATGAGTTTACTGTAATGTATTCGCTTACACACTCAAAAATACAAAGTCGACCAGAAGTGCCGAAACGCACTTATGTACATAGAAAAAAGTACCCGTTCATGCAATTCCTTCCTTTTCTTTCATCTTTCATCCTTCCTCTTCCGCATCAAATCTAAGTGAAAGCCATGCTCTTCTTGATCTCGGCAATCGCCAACGCGGGGTTCAGTCCCTTGGGGCATGTCCGCGAGCAGTTGAGAATGGTGTGGCAACGGTACAAGCTCATGCTGTTGTTAAGCGCATCCTGTCGCTCGGCCAGCTTCTCGTCACGCGAGTCGGCGATCCAGCGGTACGATTGGAGCAGGACGGCGGGGCCGAGGTACTCCTCCTGGTTCCACCAGTACGATGGGCAGGAAGTGGAGCAGCAGGCGCAGAGAATGCATTCGTAGAGGCCGTCGAGCTTCTTGCGGTCTTCCTTTGTTTGGCGGTATTCGCGGCCCTGGGTGGATGTTAGCATCTGGCTGGGGGAGTTGTGCTGAGGAAACGTACGTCTGGCGCAGGTGTTGTGCGCTGCAGGTAGGGCTTGACGGAGCGGTACTGCTTGTAGAAGAGCGTCATGTCAGGGACAAGGTCCTTGACGACGTACATGTGCGGGAGTGGGTAAATGCGAGTCTCCTTGGCAGTGTCTGTGGGAATGCGGCCTGGTGGTTGTTAGCACGCCAATCTCTTCTCTACATCCTATGATCCAACGTACAAAGACATGCCAGTGTGTTGACACCGTCAATATTCATGGCACAACTTCCGCAAATTCCCTCTCGGCAACTCCGCCTGAATGTCAAAGTCGGGTCGACCTCGTTCTTGATCCTGATCAATGCGTCGAGCATCATGGGTCCGGTCTTGTTGAGGTCGAGCTCGTACGACTGCATCTTGGGCTTGGAGGTTGGCTCGTCGGGGTTCCATCGGTAGATGTGGAATGTCTTGACCTTGGCGCCCTTCTCCAGCTCAGGCTCGCCCTGTGTCGACGTCTTGGTCTCCGGGACGGGTTTGCGGGCTGCATCTGGTACAATCGCTTCGGCTGTCTTGGAAATGGGCTCGCGGGCGTGGACATCGCTCACGGAGGCGAAACCGCGGGTGAAGGCAGCGGGCCGCACGGCTATGATGTAACGGTTAGCACCCAATAATCGCACATTGTGAGTTTCGCAGGAGTCGTACCTGTCCGTCGCGTAGCCAGGCGAGTAAATGCGCGTAGTGAAGCCATGGTGGTGGTCGTGTGTGGAGTGGAGATTGTGGATTGTGGGATGGCTTGGGCAGAGTCAAGGTGTTGCGTTCATCGAAGTTCTTAGACCGAGGGAAGTGGCAAGCCAATCACATGCTCGGAGAAATCAGCGAGTAAATCGGGACAAAACGGCTTCCTGTCTTCCGATCCGCCACGACGGCCGCTTCGTCGTGAACGTCAACATTTGACTTGTTCATCTCGGACCTATTTCCGGTCGTATTCCCATCTCCACTCGGCTGCTTGGGTCGGCTGATGAATTGCCTATTCGAGACCCTGTTTCAACTGCATATCATACATGCCAAGTGTGGTGTTCGTCTTGACTGCGAGGATAAGCCACCGTGACGCCACAGAATGGGGCATGCTGTTCATGGCACAATGCATGGCTCCACAAAATACCAAGTGAATTGCAGATCTCGTGACTTCACATAACCAACCTTGGAGATGTCGCGACTGCTCTTGCATCACCTGTACCCCACGATACTACTCCAAATACATCCTGTACCTCGCTGCACGCCCATCATACCCAACCAAACAAAATCTATCCTTTCCATGATATCAAGCCTGTCGAAAAGATCACACCTGTCGACTAGCCCAAACGTTTCCATAACACCGAAAATGCCCACAAAACCCCGCCGCTCAACCCACTTCATCCTCGACTTCGACGGCACCATAACCCAATCCGACACCCTCAACACCCTCGTCTCCATCGCCGCATCCTCAAAACCTGAATTCCCAACCCAAGAGCGCTGGAAAGCCGTTGTCGATGCCTATATATCCGACTACACCGCAACCCTGGAGAAGCTCGCTCCCAATGGCAAGTTTCCGACGACTGTTGGAGGGGAGAAGAAGTTGTTGAGAGATTTGAAGGCCGTTGAGCAGAGGAGTCTGGATCGCGTGTTTGAGGCAAGGATATTTGAGGGGGTGACGAGGGAGGTGATTGAAGAGGGGGCGGAGAGAGCTGTTAGGGGTGGGGAGGTGGGGGTGAGGGAAGGATGTGTGGGCTTTATGCGATCAATCTTGGCCTCGAAGGAAGACAAGCTGTATGTTTTGAGTGTGAATTGGAGTAGGCATTTCATTGCTTCTTGTCTGAAGGCTGCGGGTGTTCTGGTGGATCCTGCTGTTATTCTCGCGAATGAGTTGGAAGGCATTGCAGAGGAGAGGGCTTCCACTGGCCAGATTAGTCCCGAGGGTTCGATGAAGATTGTCTCGAGCGGGGACAAGCTACAGTACTTGGAGCAGATTCGGGAGCAGGGCACTGCGCGTATTGTGTATATTGGCGATAGCTGGCCAGATATCGAATGTCTACTCGCAGCTGATGTGGGTATCTGCATTCGAGACGAGCCGATGGGGAGTTCGCAGAGAAAGTTGGCGGAGGCATTGGAGAGACTGGAGGTTGCGTGTCCTCGTATCCTTGACCACGACGGTAGCGCTCAGTCGCAAGTTGTTTGGGCGAAGGACTTTTCGGAGATTTCGACGTGGTTGGAGAACCACCGTTTTGAAGCTGAAAGTACTAGGGCAGGGACAGCCGTGTGAAGATGCAGCTGTTGGTTCATGAGAGCGATCAGATAAGGTCAAACCACTCATGGTTTTCTTCCTTTGCTCCATCGCCTTGAAGTGCTTCGCCTTTCATCAATCCAGGGATATAACATAGGCCAATAAACCTCCACTGTCCGTTGTCTTTTCGTCTCAGCACTAGCGGGAAATGACCACCGAATAGGACGGCAATGACATCGTTAGGTTCCATGTGATCCGGCCCTGCACCAATTCTTCCTTGAGATGTTATGAAAACGCGACGACCTTTCATGGCATCAAGCCTTAAGGAATACCGACCCGGATCCGGCCTGCCCCAAGGAGCATGATTGACTTCTGCCATGGTTTCCTCTCGGATTCCAAGGAATGTTTCAAAATGAATCAAGGGCTCATCCACCGCATCGTTCCACTCTGGCGTCAAACCTCTCGTCGTAGCCAAGAAGAAAGCTCTTCGCAATTCCGAAGTCGGCATATACGGCAAGTTTTCTTCACAAAACTCCAAAGAAGCTCTGATATCATCGCGCAACCTCAGGTTACCCTTCTTTATGTCGCCACTTGAGTCCCAAAAGTCATCGTACACGAAACTTCTGCAAAATAGGATCGCCTTATCAACACGTGTACCACGCAGACGAAGAATCTCAGGTGCGGTCTTGTCATCGATTGCTGGATGTAGACCATTTGATACGTCGCTATACGCTGTTTCCAGCGTCCTATGATTCGAGTGTGTGAACACTTGAGCAGTATCAATACGAAGCCGCTGCCGGTAAAGGCCCAATTTCAGTACCCATGAAGGATTTCCATCGTCCAATGCACCAGCTGTGGCATCAACGAGATGTAACATATCCAAATTGCAATTCTGGCGTATGCAATACCTCGTCACACTCATCAAGACTTCTGCCTGTGGTCTATCGTAGTCCGGATTTAACTCGACAGGCCAATTCTCAGGCTCTCGTGTATCTCTGCACAGACCTAGCAATGCGAATACTTGGTCGTTCGTAACCGTAGCAAGAGCATTTTCCGAGAGCAGGAGAAGGCTTTGAAGGTCCCAGGTAACCTGGTCAGAGCCGTCCACCCACGTTGTTTTCATCCCGATGATGCCCAAGCGCTCAACATCGGACGATCCAAGCACAAAATTTACTTCCAAGGGGTGTCTATACATCCATCCTATTGTTTCATAAAGGACTGGCCATAACAGATTTTGTGTACCACATAACATGATTGCAGGTCGGGTAGACAAAGCAACCTCTTGGATAATCCAGACTCGTTGAAACCATGGAAGCCCAAGTAATTCTCTTAGCGCTGGCCATCTGCCATCTTCTCTGCTCGGCATAATTTTGACTGTGGCTTGACTGGACACTTCTTCAACAACACCTTCTCGTTCTTCAATTTCTGCACGTATTTCCCCTCTTGCCACAAGAATTTTCCGGAAATCAAGTATCAGTGACTTCGCTGCGACTACGGTAGGTTCGTCGAGGGGGAGCCATATGACTGTTCTTATGCTCGACGAGTAGATTGTGTTCATGAGCTGGACCTGATGTGTACGCTCTAGACCTTCTTCTTGGTTGATACAAATTTGATCGACCCAGAACCATGAATTTCCTGATGTTTTACTGTACTGATACAATTGCTGCAGGCCATCCCGCAGGCTAGGGGAGACCTCGAACATACTGCCGTTGCAGATGATGGGAACGCGCTGGCTGGTTGGCCCCCAGCAATAGCTAAGGGCTTCATAAGACGGGAACTGACTTAGCAGAACCGTTCTGATCTCGCATTCTATTCTTGGACTCGTTGAGCAAACTTTTACAAGTCTGATCGAGTCGGGGTGTGATAAAGCTTGGTACCGATATTGTGGGCGACTAGAGGCGTCCTGCAAAGGCTTCAAAGGAGTCGGCTTTTTCTTTTCAGACTTTTGCGCTCGTTTCGCTACGCGTGACGATCGACGTGTAGGCTCTGCCATATCGGTATGGACGAGGAATGGCTCTTAGCCTTGGCTGCGTCGTTGGAGGCTGCGATGGATTTCGAAGAAGGCCCGTTGGCAGGAGGACTAGTAGTGAAGTCCCGAGGTCATAATTGTGTTTCTTCGTAGGCGTTCGAGCAGTTCGAGCCGCTGCTGCCCGGAATTGAGGTATCAGGCTGAGCAGAGAAGGCAGAGTGATCCGCGGTCAGTCTCGTTGTTGGGAGTGATGTTGGTAAGTGACCAAGAACGCGGGACATATGAGAGTTGATTATCCCTCTGGAAGTTTGAGTCGTATTGCAAACTAAAGTTGATGTTGTTGACGTGGTTGCGACTGCACCTTCGAGCGTCAGCAGCCACGAAGTCAGTCTGCCAAGGCAGGCTGCAGGTGGCAGGCGCCCTCAAGGCAGACAATGGGGGCTGAGCAGCCAGCCGTATTCCATGCTACCCTTACGCTCTCTCATAGGTCGGCTATAATCACGACTCCTGTGCCACTTGGGCCAAAACTAGGTCATCCATGCTCTTGATGAATTTGGCTCGCCATTTCTCTCATATAATGTGATAGGGTTGCGCACACACCCAGGCTTTGCACGCGCCTGCAACAAAAGGCTCTCGCACCAAGAGCACGGTCAATAACGAGTGCTCAGGTCTGTTGCTGCAAGCTCACCGTTCATTCGAGATTGCAGTAAGCGAACGTCATCGCAAGCCACCAAGAATAACAGAAGATACAGAAGGAAAAGATTCAAAGGAAACGATATTAATGCAATGAAATGAAGGCAACAATTCTGATCCAATGATTAGAAAGTAACGATTGAAAGGCATAAAGACTGAGTGATCGAGAAATGCGGGGATAGACATGCATTTAACACGTGCCCTTCAACGAAGAGGAAGCCAAGAATACATGTTTGCGACTTTGCGGTAATCAGATTTGGTATCTAGACGCAATGCAAAAACGCCAGTCCGATGCTAATGCTATGCCAGTTTCTTACACTTCAGCTTCCGCTTCCGACTCGTCGCCTGCGCCATTCGCGAGGCTCTTGCGTGGTACCTCGAATACGTAAATCCCGTTCTTCACTTTTGCTGACATCCATCGCGCTAATCTCAGTTCTCTGCCCACGGCTGCGACGACGCAGAGTCCTTCCTTGCCACGGTCGCCTCGCTCTTGTACAGAGAGGCCGTTGACGATGCCTCGGATGAGGATCGCGTTTTCGTCAACCATGTCCTCATCATCCGCAACCGGTATGCGTCCGATTTTGCCGACAGGCTCAATCGAGCGTTTGTCGGCTCCGATCTTCCATGCTCGTATCCAGCCATCCCAACTGGCAGTGAGGATGAGGTCGGCAAAGGGTACGGTGGCAAGTGCAGTGACATATCTCGCTAGCCGTGGTCCTGGCTTGACTGACGTCGAGGCATCATGGTTTGCTGACATCTCGTCTGGGCGAAGTGCGGGATCGCGGCCATGTGTAAGGGGCTGGACGAAAAGTGGCTTCTTCCTGTTGACTGACCACAAGGACAATGCACCATTGTCGGATGCGGTGACGAACAACCCCGCATCGAGCAGTGCGACGCAGTCGATCGAGCCTTCTGCGTATGCAATTGGGGTATCGTCCTCGTCGCCGTTGGCTTCGTCATCGTTTGCCTTGTCCTCTTCGTCTACATGTTTGCCAAATTGACCTTTGCGCAGCTTGGCCATGCCCTTTTGTCTTGCAGTCCCACCACCGTGGAAGACCAGCTGGTTCTCCTCCACGACTCGCCATAGACGCGCTGAGCGATCTCTTGCACCCACACTAACACAAGTCTCCTGGTTGACTTCCAAACCACCGGCAATGCCAACGACGGTGTCTTGATGTCCGACCAGCGTTTCGATGTAGGCGTTCTCTGGTGCACTCCATACAATCACCGCACGATCTGCGCCTCCTGAGAATAATTGTTCCGTCCCTCTCCTGAATGATAGCGAGGTGACAGCGTCTCTGTGGCGGGTGAACAGATGGCGCGGTCGAAGTGTCTCTGCATCCCAGATGATCAAGCGCGCATGCTTGTCGCCTGTTGCCAGATATTTGCCCGAGTCTGATACGGCTATTGAGATGATCTCGCCCGTATGACCAATGAAGGCTCTGTCGCCCTTCTTGTTCTTGTCGCCTTTCCGCCAAAAGAGCTTCTTGGGTGTCCTTCGCGGTGTGATGTTCGTGGGTCGGTCAGGGTCCGGCGCATAAGACTTCGGATCGGGAATCTCCCACTTTTCCACGCAAAGATCTTTGCTTATGGTCCAGACATATGGCAGCTTGACCGCGCAGCCTGTAATTGCCTTCTGCAACCCGGAGTGTCCAAAAACATGTGACGCCTCCTCAAAGTCCAGCTCCTGAGCAATGTGTCTGTAGATTTTGCCCTTGTTTTCCGCCACATCTTCCTTCAGCCTCTCCGCAATGAGGTCCTTGTCGATCTGTTCCGCATCAAAGCCGACCTCTTCTTCGACTTCGTTCCGGATGTTGTCGAGATACCGTTGAGCTAACCTGAGGCGCTTTTCCGCTGCCGTTTCTCCTTCGTCCTCTGAAGATTCTGATTCGCCATCCTGTTCCTCGAAGAAACCTCCGCGACCATCATCGTCACTTTCGCTTCCGCTTATCGACTCTTCCCGTTCGACGCGGCGGGCAGTCTTTGGCGGTCGTGAGGCATTCGAGTCGCCATCGCGTCTTCGTGGTGCGCCGGGTGCACCCTCAGACCTTTTCCTTTTCCGTTGCGAGGCCGGGGTCGTGAAGAAAGAGGAAGACATGGTGGAGGTTGCGGGTGTGGAAGGCGGAGCTGTCGCATTCGAAGTTTCCTAAAGTGATCGGCGAACTTTTTTTCTGACGCCGATGGGACAGCTGCAGCCCGCGGAATTACGTAGCGCCGGCTCCGTGCGCCTTCCCATAGCTTCAACCACCAGTACGCGCGTGAGACCATACAACACCCGCCATCACCACGTATCAACCTCTACGGACCCGATTTCTTTCTACCTTGGGCTGGAATAGAACCACTGTTCGTTTCGCACCCTCACCAAGAGGACCCGTTCACCGCCGCCGCAAACTCCGGTGTTTACGCAGCACCACCGCCTAAGCTCGCCTCTCGGACCCCCGAACACCAAACACACCATCACCATGAGCGGCAGCGGCGATCCCGAGCGCGAGCATGCCCTCGAGCAGTACAAGGGCAAGCTTCTGGAGTCAAGAGAATGGGAGGCAAAGCTCAAGTCGCTGCGGTTAGACATCAAGGGCCTGCAGCACGACTTTGACGTATCAGAGGACAACATCAAGGCGCTACAGAGTGTGGGACAGATAATAGGAGAGGTGCTGAAGCAGCTGGATGAGGAGAGGTGTATGTCTGAAGACACATGATCGTCCTTGGCTACCTACTAACATATCGCAGTCATTGTCAAGGCATCATCAGGACCCCGCTATGTCGTTGGATGTCGGTCCAAGGTCGACAAGGTGAAGTTGAAGCAAGGGACACGTGTCGCGCTCGACATGACCACACTCACCATCATGCGCATGCTACCCCGCGAAGTCGATCCCCTCGTCTACAACATGTCTTTGGAGGACCCCGGACAAGTCAGCTTCGGCGGTATTGGTGGCCTGAACGAGCAGATCAGAGAACTGCGAGAGGTCATCGAGCTGCCGCTGAAGAACCCCGAACTCTTCCTGAGAGTAGGGATCAAGCCACCGAAGGGTGTGCTACTTTACGGCCCGCCCGGTACAGGAAAGACACTTCTGGCGCGAGCGGTAGCAAGCAGTCTGGAAACCAACTTCCTCAAGGTCGTCTCGTCAGCCATCGTCGACAAGTACATTGGAGAGTCGGCGCGTCTCATCCGTGAGATGTTCGGCTATGCCAAGGAGCACGAGCCCTGCATCATCTTCATGGACGAAATCGATGCGATTGGTGGACGAAGATTCTCAGAGGGTACATCAGCAGATCGAGAGATCCAGCGTACGCTCATGGAGCTGCTCAACCAGCTGGACGGTTTCGACTACCTCGGACAGACCAAGATTATCATGGCCACAAACCGACCGGATACCCTCGACCCTGCTCTTCTCCGTGCTGGTCGTCTGGACAGGAAGATCGAGATCCCGCTGCCCAACGAGGTTGGACGTCTCGAGATCATGAAGATTCACGCCTCAAGCGTGGTCACAGACGGTGAGATTGACTTCGAGAGCATAGTCAAGATGAGCGACGGCTTCAACGGTGCCGATTTGCGAAACGTGGTTACAGAAGCGTAAGTTTGGTCAATCGCATGTGCTGCACAGATATTAACGAACTGCAGCGGCCTGTTTGCTATCAAGGACTACCGCGATGCGATCAACCAGGATGATTTCAACAAGGCTGTGCGAAAGATGGCCGAGTCAAAGAAGCTGGAAGGCAAGCTCGAGTACCAGAAGTTGTAGGGTCTGTTTCTGGCTGGCTTTGAGGAACGGCGCCTACTGAAGGCCACCCTCAGTGATGCAAGTACACCCTTATGTATGATAACAGAATAGAAGGGCGCAGAATAATGCCATTTTTGCTCCCCCAACTAGCTTTCAAAGACCTCCCGCTTTTCTTGACTTTGGAGGAATGGGTTGCTGTCAACCCAGGTCGTGATTTCCTCAAAACGTCTGGATCATGTTGCATCTTACTCATGTGCAACGTCAAGGTAAGGAAAGTATCACGTGCATGATGCGGTGCAGGGAAGCGCAGTGACGGTTCCGCGAGCATTCCGAAAGAGTGGAGCCGCAACGTCAGCCCGTTCTCAAAGTCGCCAGGCCACCAAACATGTGAGAATCGGACAACCGAGCGATCGTATTCATGGCTGTGGACACGGAGTCGCTGGGGCTATGCTTTTCTTGATTTCTTTTCCCATCTCGCAACCACTCGCTGCCGACAAATTACAATCGACTGTTTTTGTGCTTCGTTGAGGTCAAGGGAGCTCAACAGCTGCGCCCACGGCACCACTTCCGAGTACGCGCAACTTTCACTCTTGCGCATGCGTCACCAATGAAGGCTGCGCTTAAGACGTCGATAGTCGCGGAAAAACATTAAAAGTGAATTTACAAATCCGAAATCATGTCGCAATCCCCCGAACCCCTAGACACGCGCCTCGATGCGCCCACGACGTCTGAAATCGAATCCCTCGAACTCTTCCGCCGCTCTCCACACCCCTACTTGCGCCATAGAGACGAGATCCGCACCGATCGCTCAGTACCCGCGACACGGCATAATTCACGAAATGGCCGCAAGCGCAGGAAAGTCCCGTCGCAGTCCCAATCGCCGAGCGAAAGCGGCACGGAAGCAGACGACGAGGCATACACATTTGTCAAGGCGCTGCCCCCGCCACCATTACGACTGCACAAGGGATTAAGAGAGGGCGCGCGGAGTCCGCTGCTCACGCCGAACCAGATTGACGATGAGGGGCGCAAGTATAGCGAGGAGTACTTTGCGGAGAAGAAGAGGAGTAGGCGCGGGGATGGTGCGACGGATGAAGAAGCGCGGCTTGCGAGACAGAAATACTTACAAAGAAGGCGGATGGAACTTGTCAGACGGACTACTGAGACGGCGTTGCTCGTTGTGATTGGGGTGCTTGCAGTTGGAGGGTGTGCATGTTGGGAGGGACTATTGAGGGGACATCGAGGTACGTCCTCCCATACCATATGCGATTCCAATGGGACTAACATGTATTACAGTCGAACTCATAACTTATACCCTCGTCATACTCTCCCTCCTCGCTCTCTATCCACTCCGCGTATTCTATTACTCCTGGCGCCGCGGGAATCCCTCGAATCTGCGACTGCGGAAACGCATACATGTCCCTGCTGCTTTCGACCCAGCGACGATATTATACCCAACCACTCTACCCGTTTTAATAAGCATTTCCTTATTCGCTTCGTTTCCCACACCATTACTTCCGAATATTTTACTCGCTTTAGCCGCCCTTCCAGCACGCTTGATACCTTTCAAACAAGCAACACTCGGATATTCGAATTTGCATTGGCTGCTGTCTATACTGCCTTTAATTGCTGCGCAAAACCAACTCCAAAACACCACTCTTCTATTCGAACAAGCCAACTTCGACCCAGAAACCCTCGTCATGCTATTCGCCCTACACCAAGCCCTCCTTCCACCACTCTATTACCTCACAACAACGAGTTTGTTACCGACAGAACTCCACCTCCTCTCCATCGGGCTGATCAACCTCCTCCTCTTCGCCGACAGTCCGCAGGCCAGTATCCTCAAGATACTGATGTGGCTCGGCGGCGTAGGCCTATTCGTCACATGTGGAAAAGTACTCAAATGGGGCGTTGCACTCGCTCGCATCCCGCGCTGGAGATTACGAAGAGCAGGCCAGGCAATTGCGAACACCCAGTCTTTTTTGAAGCTCTTAGACACGAGTCTGCGCTCGCGCGCGCACAGCGCTGAGACCAGGAGGGGGGCTGACAGCGACGCAGACGAAGATGACCCACTGCTGGCAAAGGACACGAATATGTTGCACAAGACGAAAAGCCTCAAAGTCAACATACTCGATTCATTCAGGCGAAATATGAATGGCAATGCAGAACCCCATTCAGCTGTGGAATCTAAACCCCCGAGCCCTAATTCCAAGCGCCAACGTCGAAATACGCTGCCCACACCTGCGGCGCAAGACCACACTTCCGCGCACCGCTATGTACAACGCAAACGCTCAAAGTCGATTGCACAGTCGTACCTCAGTCTCACGCCGGCTCAGGCTACGATCCGCAAATGGGCGTACGCGGGGTACTTCTACCTCGTCGTCGTGGTGATGATACTAGGTCCGATACGCCATCTCATCGGCACTACGAGTCTACACGCGCACGAGCCGTTTGGGTGGGCAGTGAGTTACCTCTTCGGCCATATACCGCGCGTGCGGTGGGAGGTGTACAACTGGGATCTAGATGGGTGGATCACACTACCGCCGCTTATTGATCATGAGATGATTCACCAGAAAGAAGAACCGCTGGTGTTTGTCGAGTATCTGCGACATGTGGTGGTGGGTGAGGCGAATGCGAGATTAGTCCTCGCGGCGTACTGCGCGGGCACGATTGCGCTGGGGCTGGTTAGTGTGTTCAGTCTCTCTGCAGTCGTGGAGGTGGATACGCGGAGGAAGGTGTTTCACGGGACGATGGTGGCCATGCTGTTGCCGACAATCTTCATCGATCCGTGCTTCGTGGCGCTGGCGCTCGCGCTGGTACTCGCCATTTTCCTGCTGCTCGACCTCATTCGCGCGTCTCAACTACCCCCGCTGTCGAAGCCGATTGCCAAGTTCCTCACGCCGTATGTGGATGGGAGGGACCTAAGAGGACCCGTGGTGGTTAGTCATATTTTCTTGCTGATCGGGTGTGCGATTCCGCTGTGGTTGAGTCTCGCGGGCATCGAGCGGGTAGGCGAGGAGCCGTGGGAAGATTGGAATGTCAAGAGTAGGGATGTGAGTATGCTGGCTGGTGTGATTTGCGTGGGCATGGGTGACGCAGCTGCGTCTCTCATCGGACGGCGGTACGGACGACGAAAATGGCCGTGGGCTGGCGGCAAGTCACTGGAGGGCAGTCTGGCATTTGCTGTCGCTGTCACGCTGGGGCTGGTATTTGGAAAAGCGTGGCTGGCGTTTGGCTGGGGCGGGCATCACAAGTCGATGGGTGACTGGACGCGAGACGCAGTGGTCACGACGCTCAAGGCGGCATTATGTGCAGCAGGCGCAAGTCTCAACGAGGCGGTGCTGACGGGCGGCAACGACAACGTGATAGTACCTGTTGTATTGTGGATACTAGTTAGAGGTGTCAGGCTGTAGAGCCGCATGCAGGTACGCAATATCAGGCATTCACTAAACGGTGTCAGCCATGGAGGCATTTGCCACGAAAGAAGAGCGGGAATCCGGTTCTTTGTAGATTATCGAGATCTTGAGGCTCAAGTGCAGTGCCAGGCTAGACACGCGGGCCGTTCACGTGGACGCTTTTTGGTGTCACCGCCAGGAGGCTTGCGCAGGGCCGTATTGCGTGCATGATTGCAGAGACAAGATGACGTAGATGGCTCTTCGTATGTCTCTGGTACAGTCATATTGAGAGGCTGTTTGGTCACGTCTTTGTTGGAGGTGAAAGTGACATGGGCTTGGCGAGGCTGAACATGGCGCATGTCGGGATGGAGCCGCTGGTTGCCGTAGCTACAGGGTGATTGAGCGCCCCAACGTTATCTCGTGGACGCTTGTTTGATCGTCCGGTACGGGCAGTCGATGTGTTGGGTAGGTAGATCGCCAGACCTGCTGTTCTGCAGTCGCAAAAGTGGATGGCGAACGTCATGGTCCGCAACGGGAAAGGCGTAGCGGTACTCACGCAGCAGCATGTGCAGGGATCATGGGGACGCGCGAGACTCGCGTACGTGAGATTCCAGACTGCGCAGGACGTATAGGCAGCTCTCGCGAAGATCCGGAAGGCTCCATGATTATCGGCAGAGCTGTGATAATGGGTGAGGGGTCGGCGCGCACTGGGCCTATCAAGCAACTGGGGGCACACAGATGCTGCGAGCATAGATTACCCCACGATAAGCTGTCGAGGTGTGAAAGGCTCGTCGGCGCTGATTGGCTGCATCGGCACCAAGTCGCGCTGCAGGTGCTCAATCCAGCAACCCGCGACGACATCAGGGTGTGTTGCGCAGCTGCGAAGGTGTGTGATCGGCTGCTGCGGTCATGGCACTGGTGCGGAGGGGAAAAGGTACATTGTGTGAGTGGCACAGGGCGCGAAAGCACGGCGAATTGCGTGCGAAACCGTCATTCAGCGACCACATGACATGGTTCCTGGCTGGCGTACGCTGCCCGGGGGATGCACTCGTGCCGGTGGATGCGCCACGAGGGTGAGGAGCACCGCGAGGAGCGCCCAAGAAAAGGACGGCGGTGTGCAGCTGCGTAGGCGGCTTTTGCGTTCTTCTCGCTCTCGTTCTCGATCGCAGTGCCATCCGGTGTTGCTTCGCGCGTCGCGTTGATAAGGATAAGGAAAGCTAGGTCACAGATCCCCGGCCGATTAGCTCCACACAGTCCCCGCTAAACCCCTCGTGGCCGGCCATCGACCTGAGCATGACTCCAGGACGCTTCACACGCTCCAGCACCTCTTGCAGCTCGTCTCCTCTTCTCCCCCGTCTGCCCGTTCCCTTTCCTTCTCTATAGTTCCCTTTATTCGCCTTCCACCCCTGTGCAGTCCGCCTCCCTGCACCAACCCGCTCCATCGCCCGCTTTCCTGCATTCGTTCACGCATCGATACCCCAGCACGCCTCCAAGGCCCCAGCGCCGGCCTGACGTTTATGACAACCGCCTTCCCGCCTCACTGAGCGAACGACAACACGACTAGCCCAGAGCCGCTCCCACGTACCGCAGCAACACTACAACTCTCCCCCAGCACACGTCCAGCACCGCATACCACGTCCATCCTACGCACTCCACCCACCACCACCCTCGACCGACCCTCCACGCCGGCACCAGCCCATGTGTAACAACATCACGGCCACGCTATATCCACATCTCTGTTGGTAGTCGCAGCACCGGGCACACGCCAGAAGGAGACGGGCCCCGGCTGGTCGGCCAGCGCCTTCATCATGGCCACGCCATCCAATCCCTACGCCCCGCGCCGCTCGGGTGCGTCGCCATCTTCGTCTGCGGCGGCAGAGCAGATCATCGGCAAGTTCAAGCGGATGGACCACATCGGCAAGGGCAGCTTCGCGGAGGTGTACCGGGGCATCCACATTGTACGTGATTCGTCGTCTGAGGTGGCTTGGGACGAGTGGCAGCTAACACCCAGCAGGAGAAGCGACAGTCGGTGGCTATCAAGTCGGTCAACATGAACAAGCTCAACAAGAAGCTCAAGGACAACCTCGTTTCCGAGATCTCCATCCTTCGCAGCCTGCACCACCCGCACATTGTGTCGCTCATCGACTGCCACGAGACGCCATCCCGCATGCACATCATCATGGAGTTCTGCGAGCTCGGAGACCTCTCTGCCTTCATCAAGAAGCGCGCGGACCTCGTCAACCACCCCCAGACGCAGCGCATGATTGAGAAGTACCCCAACCCGGCTGTAGGAGGCCTCAACGAAGTCATCGTGCGGCATTTCGCGAAACAGATGGCTAGTGCCCTCGAGTTCCTGAGGTCCAAGAACTACATCCACCGTGATCTGAAGCCGCAGAATCTCTTGCTGAATCCGTCGTCCGTGTACTACTCGCAGAGCGGAACACTGGAGCGCATGCCTCTAGCCGCTGATGCGAGCTCGTTGCTCCCGGCAACAGGAATAGAATCACTGCCCATGCTCAAGATTGCTGATTTCGGCTTCGCCAGGATCCTACCAACCACCTCTCTGGCCGAGACGCTGTGTGGTTCTCCGCTGTACATGGCCCCGGAAATCCTGCGGTACGAGAAGTACGACGCCAAGGCGGATCTGTGGTCGGTAGGAACGGTTTTGTTCGAGATGATGTGTGCGAGGCCACCCTTTAGGGCAAACAATCATGTCGAGCTGCTGAGGAAGATTGAAGAGCGCAAGGACCACATTAGGTTTCCGGAGGGTATCGTCTGTAGTAGGGCCATGAAGAACTTGATTCGCGCACTGTTGAAGCGCAAACCCACGGAGCGCATGTCGTATGACAGCTTCTTCTCGGATCCAGTGATTCGTGAGGAGATTCCGGACATGGTCGATGAAGATCTCCCGCAGGCTATGCAAGCTTCGGAGCCTGAGCCGCCAGTGGAGCCGCCTAAGAGAGTCCAGAAAATGCCGGTAGAAATGGATCGTCGTCCTTCAGATAGCCCGTACTCGCGCTCACCCAGAGATCGAACTGGTATGGGAAGTACCCCACCCTCGAGGCCCATGTCTCGGCCTTCAAGCGCGCAAGCTGCGGGCACTCCACCTCGAACTTTGTCGATGCGGCGAGGCAGTAATGCTCCGATTGAGCCAATCGAGGAGCATGCCCCTCTTCGTGAGCAGCGCCGCCCCGTACTTACCAATGCTGCCACTGCCCCTGCTCGTCAAATGCCGTTGTCAGAGCAAGCCATGGCGGGACACAGGCGTCGATACTCACGAGACGACCAAGCGCCGGTGCCTTCAAGCCTGAAAGATACGGAACGTGAGCGGCGGACTGAAGCAGGCGGTATGCGTGAAGCCGCTGAACGAGCTGCACAAGATGCTGCTCTGGATGATGGATTCGTGTTTGTGGAGAAGCGGAGGGTGGAGATAGATGCCTTGGCGGATGAGATTGCTGTGGGAAGTCCGCAAACGCAACGTGACCGCGTATCTCAGCGCGATACCATGAAACGGCGCTCGACTACACAAGGAGCTCCAACTTCAACCACCGGAGCCACAGCGCCTTCAAAAGCAATTCAGATTCAGCGTCAGCCATCTTTGACCCATCAGCGAGCTGGATCTTACGAGCGTCGACGACCATATCGTCCTAGTTTTGAAAGCGCTACTTCGGCACTGACAAAGGCTATGAACATGGTCAGCATCCGTGGCCTTGGACTCTCGCCGCCAGTCATGAAAGGAGTTTCTCCACCTCAGGGATACTCGGCATTTCCAACTTATCCTGCTGCTCAGAGCAGCCTGCTACTTGTTGGCGACAACGACCAGGTCACGACGAAAGATGAGGCCGCAACGACCGTCAAGAAGATCGAGGAGCTGGCTCAGTTGAGTTATGTCATCTACGGATTTGCTGAGGTCAAGTACAAGCAGCTGGTTCCTGTTGCGCCGAGCGACGAGGGTTTGGGCATCGGTCCAGGCGGAGTGCGTCGAAAGCCGAGCACAGACGTCATCGAGGACGACGACGACGACGATCTCACGCCTGATACGATAGTCACCATTGCAGAAGAGGCTCTCGTGCTCTATGTCAAGACACTTGCCCTGCTCAACAAGTCTATGGATGTTGCTGGCAGCTACTGGAACAAGCATCGACGCGGCAGCTTGTCGCCCGAAGCAGCCAGCCGTGCAGCAGTTATTGCTGAGCGCCTGAACCGTGTTGTATCATGGGTTCGCGATCGCTTCAATGAGTGCTGCGTCAAGTCCGAGATCATCGCTCGCAAGTTGAAGCAGGCTCAACAGCACCTGCCGACAGACCATCCTAGCCACCCCCAGAATCTCTCTGCTGCTTCAGGCTCCGCCACTACCGTAGGCTCAGCCGAGAACATTCTTCTCACGACCGGCATCACAGCAGAAAAGCTCATGTACGACCGCGCCATCGAGATGAGCAGATCTGCCGCCGTCGACGAACTCACCGGCCACAACCTCCCCAGTTGCGACATCAACTACTCCACTGCCGCCGCCATGCTCGAAGCCATTCTTGAAGACGAAGAAGAAAGCGGCAGCCGCAAGCTTGACACTGAGGAGATCAACGGCCTGGAGACGGAGGATAGGCAGTCGATCCAGAGACGTAAGTTACTCCAAATCACATATTCTATTGAAAGCTAGTTCTAACACCCAACAGTCCTCGAAGAAATCCAGCGCCGCCACAAGACCCTCAAGAAAAAAATCGAAATCCAAAAGGCGCAGAAACGCAACTCCATCACGAGCGCGCCTGCTGGCCTTCCATCGAGTCGCGGCTCTCCTTCATCCCAAGGCACGGCGAGATAAGCCATCACCCTCCCGCACGCAAACACAACAGAACACAATACACACCTGCCATTTTCCCCAACCGCGCAAACGACAGCGTAGCATTTTCTCCGGCGTTTTTGAGACATGGGCGTTTCGACCATCTCTCCACTTTTTCCCGCACTTTTTCTTCCTTCTTTCTTTTTAATCAAGGGGGCATCATAGGGTATTGCGTTCCTCTTTGCAATGGGATTGGGATTCTTTCTTTCTTTCTCAAGGGCGCAGAGAATCATTGAGAATAACACAACTTGCATATGATACCATGGTTTTTGTGCGCTGTGGGTTTTGTCTGGCGTTTTTTTATGTTTTGGATTGGGGGTGGGATGGAGTTTATGGGCTGGGTGGGAAGGGAAGGGAAGGGAAGGTGGGAGGGTTGGGCGGGGTGGATGGATTAGCAAGCGCGTATAGCACAGATTGAATACAGAAAGTAGGCATAAGCAAGACTCATCATGTGTGTGTGGTGAAGCGTGAAGCTGCCATTGTCTCGTCACTTGCCATTCGCCACGAGCCATACCTGATTCTTCATCCAATACTTCTCATGATCTCGACGCGCCCAACCCTTCGGCATACTCCAAGCATCTCACGATATCGAAATACTAATAATCTTGATATCCTCCTCGGGCTTCTCCTTGTACACTTTGGCATTCTCAATCTTATGCACGACATCCATGCCCGCCACCGCGCGCCCGAAGATTGTGTGTTTGTCGTCGAGCCAGGGCTAATCATCACACGTTAGCATTCATCCTCACACTCCAACCATCACGAGAAAGGAAATAGTAGCACTCACCGCTTTCTCCGTCGTAATAAAAAACTGACTCGCATTCGTCCCCGGCCCCGCATTCGCCATACTCAGCACATACGGCCGATCATGCCGCACCTCCTTGCTAAACTCGTCTGCAAACTCCTTGCCCCAGATACTCTCGCCGCCCGTGCCGTCGCCCAAGGGGTCGCCCGTCTGGATCATGAACTTGCGGATCACGCGGTGGAAAATCACGTTGTTGTAGTAGCCGCGGCGCGCGTGCGTGGTGAAGTTTTCGACGGCTTTGGGCGCGATGGACGGGAGGAGGAGGAGCGTGATGTCGCCGAGGGTGGTGTGTAGGACGGCGCTGGTGCCGGATGCAGCGAGGGCTTGGGAGTCGGATTTGGATTTCTGCGCGGCGCGCGGTTTTTCGTTGTGTACGTCACGCGAGGATTTGGATGCGTTGGCGTCGTTGGTGAACATGTAGAAGCGGACTTTACCCACGCCCGTGGAGACGAGCATAGCGTCGCGCGCCTCTGCTTCTTGGAGTAAGGGGTTTTCAGACGCGGCCATTTCGACGGTGACAATGCCTTTCTTTTCAGGCTGGCCTTGGTACAGAGCGAGGTGCAGGGGCCGAAAGGGCTCGTCTTGGGCGTAGAGTTTGACAAGTTTGTTGGTGAGTGTGTTGAGGACTTTGACGCCGTACATGCTGCCGTAGAGGATGAAGTTACTTGTTTCGTCGAAGATGACGTTGCAGCGCGGGCGGACGGTGGGCTGGTCGAGGTCGCGCTCGATACCGATTCGGCGGCCGAATTCCATGTCTTCGAGGTGCTGGACGGCGGTGCCGGCTTGTTGCATGGTGGTGATTGTTTCGATGGACTCGTCGTAGGTGCGGTATAGCTTTCCGGTTGCAAATTCGAAGATGCGGATCTTGCGGTCGGGGAACGAGTATGTTGCGAATTGCTTGCCTGTGGGGGAGACTGTGAGAGTGGATGGGACGCTTTTGGCCTTCTTGAACTCGAAGAGATTTGTCGAGCTCTTCAGTGACCAGACGTTGTCTGGCTTCTCGTACACGCCGCTCGGTCGCCAGTACTCCACCATGCCTCCCTGGTCCACGCTGACCACACAATCGTACGCATTGTTATACGCCATCAGCGTCACCGGCGCGCGATGAATAGCCTTGAGCGTCTGCAAAGGCTCCAGATTCTCGCCTCGCCCATCATACATGCGAATCCAGCCCTTCTCTTCCTCACTAACCGCCAAAAGCGGGAAACTCGCACCCCGACCATGCACCCAGCACACCGCCTTGGGGCTATAATCCAGACTCAGCATAGCCAGCAGGTCAAACGTGACCACATCGAAGATCTTAACCGTATTATCCGCGCCCGCAGTCGCAAAGCTGCGCCCATCCGCGCTCGCGCTCACACTGCGTATCTCGCCCGTATGCGCCCTGAACTCCTTCACAAACTCGACGCCGCCAAAGTCCTTCTTCCAGAACTTGACGACGCCGTCGACGGAGCTCGTAATCAAGGAAGTCGGTGTGCGGGGTCAAGTGTGGTGAAGCTGAGCTGCTCGCGGTGCATGAGCGACTTGAAGTACCGTTGCGACGTTGGTAGGGCTGCTACATAGAGCTTCTCGTATGGGAGCTTTCGCTTCTTCTTTTTCGGCGCGGAGGAAGGTAGCGCTGGGCCAAAGTCGTCATCGGAGGAGGAAGTATCGTCTACAGAAATCAATTAGCAATGTTGCGCGTGTCGCATTGGGTATCACAATGGTACCATCGTTGGGTTGCGCTGCTGGGACGTCTTCGGCTTCCATTTCCGCGCGAGAGCGTATTTGACTTGCTAGGCGACTCTGATCCGTTGGACGCCACTGTTTCCGTAGAGGTGATGTGGGGGTGTGTCGTGGTTGGTAATTGAAAGGTAACCTCTCGCTTCGCAAAGTTTAAAGTTCGTCAATTCCCAGCGCGCTCTCACGTGCTCGCGTTCTCACTACAAGGCCCCACTTTCCACCAATTGTGGATAGAACGGAGCATGCCGTAGACTGAAACTGAATACAAGATGGAGAGAAAGCTCGGGTAGCTTCTTTTGAATTGTCTATTTTGTATCCTGTATGGTCTATATAGCCATGAGCTAATGAGCTAGCTGGGGAGTCTATAAAAAAACCAACGTATGAGTGGAGTATATGGCTAAGCCTCTACAGGTACTTGTGCTCCTTCAACCACTGCTTAACATCCTCACCATCCCTCTCTAACCACGCCGCCTTCGCGCCAATCGACTCCAAGCTCTGCGACAACGACATATCAAAGCCCTTTCGTGCTCTTGTTTGCGAAGAACGACTTGATGTCCTCAATGTGCTCGCGATGGGTAAAGGTCGACGTGCAAATCGACACGACAGAGCTCAACATGCTCAAGCTAGGTGGTAGCCTCCTCTCGAGCTCCTCCCAGTTGTCCTTGACCCATTTCCAGAGTGCATGGCAGCCCTCGGGGTGGGATCGCAGGGCAGAGATTGGCAGGTAGATGTCTTGACCCTTGACATCTTTGCTCAGTGCGAAGTCAAGTGTGCGCTGAATGAGCTCGGGTGACTTGGCGCGGCCGAGAGAGCGCAGGGCAGAGTTGCGCTCGTCAGCGGTGGCGGCGTGAAGAGTCTCGTTGATAAGCGCGTCGTACTGTATAAAGTTAGTATTGTTCAACCACAGAGTCTCTGAGGGCTTACCTCTTCCTTGCCACCCTTTGCCAAGACGATGGCGTACACGCTACCGCGAATGTTGGGGTGGATGGCGGTCTTGTCGCCGGCCTTGAACTTGTTGAACATGTCAAAGGAAGCCTTGGTGATTTCCTCGTCGCCAGAGATACCAGCGGCGCCGAACATCAGGCTCTTGAACTGCTGCTCAATGTGCCCATCCTTCTCGCTGAACGTCCAGCCCAGCTCGTGCGCCTTGTCCTTGACGAGGTCCAGTTGGAACTGCTTGAGAGCATCCCTAATGGACTGATCCTCGAACATCCAGGCGCCACGGAGGGAGCCAATGCGGCCCGTAATCTCCTGCCAGACAACCATGTCGGGCTCGCTCTTGAAGCTGTCAAGAAGCGATAGGATGCCTGACGACTTCTGGTATCCTGAAGCAGCCAGAGAACCGGCATCGGCAATCATACCAGCCCTGTCCTCGACCGTGAGAAGACCCTCCTTGGCAGCCACACCAAGCTTTCGCAGCCGCTCTGGCGTGTACGAAGTTCGGTAGATACCGGAGTGATCGGCATTCAGCTTGAAGAAATCCATGTCTTTTAGCTTGAAGTTAGCCTCGCGGTCAAAGAGAGTCAAGTCCTCGTTGACGCCGTCCTTCGTTCGCAGTCCAAGGAAGACAGGGTAGAGAGTCTGATCCTCCTCAGGCTTGACATCGGCAGTGCGGAGGAAGCGATTTTGCTTCAGGTGGATCGAGTCGGAGCCTTCGGTGACGGTGACGACGGGGAAGCCGACTTTCTTGGTCCAGATGTCCATGACCTTGCCGACGTCCTTGCCGCTAGCTTCGCTCAATGCAGCCCACAGGTCGCCAGTCTCGGTGTTTCCGTAGGCATGCTTCTTCAGGTAGCGACGGATACCCTCCATGAATGTCTCCTCGCCAATGTACTTTGAGATCATGCGAATGACACTGGAGCCCTTGGAGTACGAGATGGCGTCGAAGATCTGGTTGATCTCGTCCGCGCGCTTGACAGGAACCTCGATAGGATGACTGCTGCGCAACGAGTCCAATGACAGCGCGCCGGCAAGGTTGTCAGTAACATAGCCCTCCCAGACTTTCCAGTCGGGGTAAAAGACGTTGCAGGAGTACCAAGACATCCATGTTGCAAATCCCTCGTTTAGCCACAAGCCATCCCAAAAGTCCATGGTTACCAGATTGCCGAACCACTGATGTGCCAGCTCGTGTTGCACGATCTCGGCTACGCGCTGCTTCATTGCGGCGCCGCTGTTCTTCTCATCCATGAGCAGATCGACAACGCGGTACGTAACAAGACCCCAGTTCTCCATGGCGCCGGCACTGAAGTCGGGAATGGCAACCATGTCCATCTTTGGCAGCGGGAATTCGCTGTCAAACGTCTTTTCGTAGAATGCCAGAGTCTTTGCTGCAAGCTCAAGCGAGTATCGGCCGTGCTCGATATCCCTGTCCTTGGGCGCATACACTCTGACGGGCTTGCGGAAGCTGTTCGTCTCGATGTAGTTGAGCTCTCCGATGATGAAGGCGAGGAGGTAGGTCGACATGAGGGGCGTGGGGTTGAAGGTGGTGGCCTTGCGCTTGCCGCCCGTGACCTTGGAGTCCACCGTCTTCTCAGACGCCACGTCCATGTTGCTCAGACATGTCATCTTGTCGTCCGCGACGAGGGTGACAGTGAACTTGGCCTTCAGCGCCGGCTCGTCGAAGCAGGGGAACGCCCGTCGTGCATCGGTCGGCTCCATTTGTGTTGTGGCCATGTAGGTGGTCGAGCCGTCCGCTGCCTTGAACGACGACCGGTAGAAGCCAGCCATGTTGTCGTTCAGGATCCCGGAGAAGGTCATGGTGAGCTTCGCCTTGCTGCCCTTGGAGATGGTCTGGTCGAAGCTGACCTTGGTGGTCTGCGAGTCTGCATCGTGGGAGACGGTGGGCGACTCTGAGATGACCTGGTCGCCTGCGGTGATCTTGGTGGTGTGGATCTTGAGTTCGTTCGTGTTGAGTGAGATTGAGGTCGTGTCTTCCTTGACATCTAAGCTAGATACATGTCAGCCCTCTACTTTCTGATACTCATGACACTACCGTACTCAATAACCACGGTACCCTCATAGGTAAAGTCCTCAAAGTTCGGCTCCAGGGTCAAGTCGTAGTGGATTGGTTTGACATTGGTGGGCAGCACTTCACGCGCCGCAGCAATGGTGGCCGACCCATGCTCTTCGCCGCCAAAGTGCTTGCACATGTTTCGTCTATGTGAGCAGTGTCTCTGGGCAACGAGGGTGGGCTGTCGAGACGATATGGGCGCTCGACGGGGGAGGGTGTTGTCAAGGGCGAGTGTTTGTCTGGCGGGGTAAATAGTGGGAGCAGCTGTCGTGGGGCGGCCTGTATGTAGCAGTTCCCGACGAGGAGGGTTCAAGCGCCGACTGCGGGAAAGAGCGGTGGCAGGTGACCCTTTCACTCCGGACGAGAAGAGAGCATGGGCATTGTCCGCCCTGCGCCAACCGCCATTTGGCCTGAAGCAGCGCATGAGGAAGAATGCGCGCCTCTTCAATTGGCTAATGTCTGTTTGCGAAAGAAGAGTGATCGCCAAGAGATGCGACAATGCTAACGACGCACGCGCCAGCCGCCGCTTCGCCTATAAATCCCCGCTGCGTGTCATCCTCTGATTTCTCCAACTACGCAAGGCAGTCCTCCTAGCACCGTCTCTATTAGCGGATGTGCTGGATGTTCTGGCAACACGTTTGTCAGCCCTTGCCAGACAAAATACCAAGCACTCGTTTGAGCCTCTCCACCATTCCTCCATGAGTGGTGAGGTATAGAAGTAGTTGCCACATAATTTTTCACCGTCACGTCAGAGCTTGATGAAGTACGAAGTGTTTGCCGTAGAACCTGATGTTGATGCACACTACAATGGACCGCGAGCACTATCCGCCCAGCACAAAGCAGTCTCCGTCAATCCCATACCGCCTCGTGAGCCTCCTACCATACCTTCTCGCCCTCCTATACGGCATTTTCACAGTCTCTTGTTCGAAGGGTATGGCAACTGGGCTGGATCTCCAAGGTCGCCTAGGCGGAGGAATTTACTTCCCAAGTGTGACGGACGAATTATCGTCTTGAGGTCGTAAAGGGTCGAATGCCTGGGTTCGTGGCCACCACTTCATCATTGCTAATTTACCTTTGGTGTCCGGGTTCAAAAGTTCAAACAGCTCCAGACAGACCATTCTGGGCTGTGCACGTAACCCATACGCAAGGCCCAAGTCGGCCGAAGAATATGAGATAGTCGTTCGCAGGGAGGTCACTTCTCAGACCCACGCTCGATGAAGGAGCGCATTGGGGCGAGGCGGGGAAAAAGAAGCTTAACTCCCGCTGCATCTTCCCCACGACACGTTTGTCTAGCAGCACTTTCAGTAGTTGAACAGTTTCAATATAACCCATAAGATCCTGTGGTCGAGCTTTCTTGCTCTCGGTCTGAATCTACTGGTAGGGGGTGAGGTCCCCGAAACACTTGATCCCAATTTCCCAATGGCAAACCTTGACCAAGAACGGCAGAAGCTTGCCTTATATTTCTAGTATCATGAATCCATGGCAGGGTTTGGTGATTTCTCCATTAGTTGCAGGCTTCCATCTGCCATAATCCTCTGAGTCGGCACTGCTGAAATTCATTGCGTGAAGTAATTCCAAGAGGACTGCTTTAATTGTCCAGACCTCGCGTGCAAGTTCAGACTTTGCGTCTTGCTCGAATTCTTCTAGGGACAATACGTCACCAGGAAAACCAATCCCTTCATACATGGTTGAGGTTTGCATACGACCCAAATCGTCAAGAGACACGACTTATGTACGCGTGCTTCCTGGCAGCAGTGAGGTGGCCATCACCTGGTGAGCTAGGACTTGCCCATCTTGCCCATCTGGGATCGCATGATGTGCCATATTGCATGAGAGCGAACATCGAAAGTGGAAATGAGGATGCTCCCCACGCGGAAAATGCAGGAATCATGGATTTGATGGTGGTGTGGTGCGACAGCCAATCACGGCGATGGGGCTCTTGCTGACTAGCCGTGCCAAGCTTCACATTTGCAAGAAGTCGCGGCCGGCCACTCCACCTCTATCACCATCGCCAACGATCCCCATTGATCCACCTCCTCCTCGCTCCGAGCCAGCTCACACTCAGCATGTTGGCTCGATCAGCCCTGCGCACGGCGCGCTCCGCCGGCAACGCGACCCGCAATGCCACCAGCAGAACCTCTTCGGTACGCCTCTCGACACCCTCCCCAGCCCAACACCGCCCGCGAGCTCCAATGCGTTCCTTGCGGACGGCATCATGTGATCTGGCTGCGAAGACATACAAATTGATGGCATGGCTGACGAATTGGATGATGTAGCGCGCGGCTTCGACTTCGACCGAGGGAGCTTCCTCAACGCTGAGGAACAACGCCCTCCCCATTGGTGCTACCGTTTTCGCTCTCGGATCGTCCGCCTGGTACTGGCAGATGTACGGCCGCAGTGTCGACGCCATGACACCGGCTGAAGAAGGGTGAGTCGCGCCCCCGGATATGTGCATGGACGTGGTGGAGGGACATCGGACGAGTGCTTGGCGGCGAATTGCGGAATGGCAGCTAACATTTTCTCACCACAGTCTGCACCCAACTCAGTACCCGTGGCAGCACGAGAAATGGCACAAGACATTTGACCACGGAGCGTAAGTGTCCCGCATCCGACATGCTAGCATCCCGCCTAAACAGAACCATAGTCTCCGCCGTGGTTTCCAGGTCTACCGCGAGGTCTGCGCCTCTTGCCACTCCATTTCCCGTGTCCCCTACCGAGCCGTTGTTGGTCAGTTCATGACTGTCGACGAGGCCAAGGCCCTCGCCGAAGAGAACGAGTACGACACCGAGCCCAACAACGAGGGCGAGATCGAGAAGCGCCCCGGAAAGCTGTCCGACTACATGCCCGCGCCCTACAAGAACGACGAGGCTGCCCGCGCTGCCAACAACGGTGCTCTTCCCCCGGATCTATCGCTCATGGTCAAGGCCCGCCACGGCGGCTGCAACTACATCTTCAGCTTGTTGACCGGTTACCCTGAGGAGCCTCCCGCGGGCGCTGTCGTTCAGGACGGCCTCAACTTCAACCCCTACTTCCCCGGTACCGGCATTGCCATGGCTCGTGTCCTGTACGACGACTTGGTCGAGTACGACGACGGAACCAAGGCCTCAACCTCGCAGATGGCCAAAGATGTTGTTGAGTTCCTCAACTGGACTGCCGAGCCAGAGATGGACGACCGCAAGAAGATGGGCTGGAAGGTCTTGGCCGTCACCAGTGTGCTTTTCGCCCTCAGCGTCTGGGTCAAGAGGTGAGCAGGCTAACTCACGTTAATTAGACACCCGAAAACTGACAACCACATAGATACAAGTGGGCACCGCTCAAGTCCCGAAAGATCGCCTATGTCCCACCGCAGCAGAAGAGCATTCTCGACCAGATCCCCAAGCCAAACACATCGGGCAAGACCAACCAATAAGCGTGGTTCAGATTTGCATTTGGGTGGATTGGGAGGAGCGAGATGCGGCAGCGTGTGTGTTCTATATTCTGTACAGTGTCAGGTACCCTCAAATAAGACTTCTGAGATTCCTTTGTTCATTTGCAAGACTTTGACATTCTCGCTACGTTGTGGATGGACTAAGAACACGGCCGTTTTGTGGTGGTGCGATGCTAACCAGCTGATCGTGTTAGGTCTGCCAGAACGTTTTCCACTTTCAAGATTGGTTTGTACAACGAACGTGTCGTAGGCTGTCTCTGATTGACTTTCTCAAAAGGGGCGAGTAGTGGTCACTTCATGGATGCGACGAAGCCGGTATAGCAATGCTATGAACGTTGAAGTGTCTACTCTACCTACTGGTCTTTCAGTTTGTGTTTACCAATCCCCCATCGTACTCCGAACTGCGCCTGAAGAGAACTGATTGAGCCCAGGTTTGGTTTGCAGAACAAGGCCACCATAACTATACGCATTTCGCAACCCTTGCTCCTTCTTCCATGTCAACGCTTACAACCCCGGCCATCCGCTGCTACATATCCTCGCCGTCGACATGGAGACTGGCCCATATCGATTCGCTTATGATATCAGGAACGTTAGTTCTATTGTCGTAGAGTTGTCGCGCGTTGAGATTTGAGTATCAGGAAACGTCCAGGTGTTTACTGCCGCTTATCACTACGACAGGAAACAAACCATGTCTTTTGAAAGTCTGAAGCTACACAACTGTCCTGCGCCTAGCAGTCGAAGCCTATAGACACTGCGCAAACCTTCAGCCCAAAGGATGGCCTGCTATTCATCATAATCTAGTCATTTTCCGCTGTAAATGTGAACATGCGATACTAGGGCATGGGCAGCATACGAGCATCAGGCGAACGGACATGGTGACACGTAGTCGAGCACTTCTCATGCCGACAGTCTCGAAGCTCATCTGATGAATTCAATTCAATCAGGCCAGATTCAGAGAATCTGTTCCGCCTGAGGAAGTTTTTAGCAGCATCCGTTGGGCGATGACGCCGTGTTCCTTTGCCCTAGAATTAAGGCAAAAAAAGCAAAACTGTGGCGCGGAAAAGGCGCGGAAAAGGCGAAGATGTCCTAAACGAGCGCCGAATCAGGACACGCAATTGCCTTGGCCTCAGGCTGTAGCCCAACTGACTTCGCCTTTACAGCCTTTCAACCCGCGATGGCTGCATTATAAGTTAAGCGCTGTCTTCGCACACTGTTGGTGGTGCAGCTCGAGATTCTACAACACACTCCTGAGATCATGGACTCCAACGATAAGCCCTGCCCAATTCGCAGAGAGATACGCCCCGGTTTCCGTCGTATAGGTATCGGGAGAATTCGTCGCGGAATTGCCACCTGCCGCCTGGTCGCTTGTGATACGAACGCTTGTGAAATGAAAGCTGGGGGTACGGCCGCTCTGGGTATGGACTTCGTGTCTGAAATATCCTTTGAAGAACTGAACGAGAGATTGCGGAAATCACAGGAACAGCTTCAAATACGCCTATCCACTGAGTTACTGAAGAGAAGACTGGAGAGCCAAGAGAAGAGCCGAAGAGATTGTCGTGATGAGTTTGAAAAGCTGTCGACATGTATCTCAACATTGAGAGGACAATTGGAGAAGTTCTGGTCTTCCACGGCAGAGTTCAGTAGACGCCGCACGCAATGCCAGGGTCGACGCTTTAGTCTGCGAAGCTACTACCTGAAAAGGTACTTGGAACTAGTTCTCGATTTCAAACTGTCGAGTTACTACCTGGGACCCGATGGCAAGCTGGATCGCGCACTTCAAGGAGCCCAGGGATTTTTATCGACGTCGGAGTTATGGTCATCGAATGAATTCGTTTTCGCGCAATCAACCTCGCCCTCTCAAACGGCGGAAGATCTCCTCCTGGCCAATTTTCGAAACGCGCAGTTGAGACTGAATGAGCTGTCCGCGTATGGAGCCCTGCTGGAAACGAACTTTGAGAATGTCAAAGAACAACTAGAGCAACTTTTGTCCGTCGAAGATGCACTGGACGAAGAACAGAGGCAGACGGAGCTGGAACAGCGACAATCCGAGAGATCCATGGAGCGTCTCGAGCGATTCATGAGAGATGTGACACTCCGGCTGCAGATGCTCGTTGTGCTGCTTCTCCTGTGCGGCAAATTTTCCGGCGTCTCGGACAATGATCAACCGATGTGTACAACCATGCCCTGGAACATCCGACCAGCTCTGATTGTGCTGTGGGGTGTCTGTTGGATGTTCTATACCCCCGAAGGCAACGTGGATCCAACGGGTAGACAAGACACCGGACTGGACAGAAATCTGGATATCTCAATGATAGGTAAGAACGAGCGAGCATTACAAAAGTGACGATTCCATCGTGCTAATCACTTCCATATAGATTGGCCTCAATGGATCAATGACGGGCCATTTCAGATTTCCAATCAGGATCCTTCCCTGTACAACCAAGATCCGATCGCACAACGACCAACGTTACCAGCTGCAACCGAAGCTTCGACCCCATTTTTCATGCCTGATTTCTTCCAGGACCTAGCTCTGGACGCTGCGTCCTTGAACCAGAGCCTGTATAAAGGTGGTCCCGATCGCAGAGTGGCGCTCGACCCAAAAGACGCATTCAGTAGCTTGAATCTCACATCAAACATGGAGGTATTACCGACATATCCGATGATCAGTGGCTATCATCCAGGATTAGCCAACGAGCAACTGGCAGGGTTCCATCCAGGACTGGTGCCGTCTGCATCTACGGCGACTGACAGACCAAATACCCTTGCGGAACAATCGACATCGTCGTCAAGGCCACTAAGCGGGTCTGAACAGCCGCGGCAGCCTACACCCTACCGTCCGGAAGTTTCTATGACTTGCGAGCATACCCAATGTAGCGGTTTGACGTTTGATCATCCATCTGACTGGAAGTAAGTGCTTTCCTTCTTGAACTTTTGGATACAGAGTGCGTCCTCCGCGACGAAAATCTACATAGGCTTACAAAAGACGTGTAGGAAGCATGATGATAGAGTCCACAGCCGGAAAACATGCAATTTCACAGGCTGTTCTCAATCATTTGGGTCGAAAGGCGAGCTCCATCGCCACAAACAAACAACGCACAACCAAATCCCAGCACACAGGCTCCTTGCATGCCCTGAAAGCAATTGCAAATACTCGCTTACACCACACTTCAAGCGCAAGGACAATTTTGTTGATCATTTGAAGAGATTACATGGATATTCACCGGCCAATGCGAAAGCTAAAGCAGACTCTGAAACCATATCGCAGGCTAGATCGCAGCTCGAACTTCAGACCGAACCCCATTCTCCGTCTTGTGAAATACCAAATATCCCGACCATTGCTACGTCGGCGGCCAACGCAGGTCCTGCAATGGCAAATTCATCTCAGCCAGACCGAACCCTCTCTACCGCGCCTGGACCATCGAAGAAGCGACGTCTAAGCAAGACTGCGCCGTATCCAAGCGAGCTGTCAGACCTCTCAAGGAACCCGAATCAAGAACCCTACAACGAAGAAGAGACGTGGAAGAGAAAGGTCGCCAGATACGAGACGGAGATGGAAGCCTTGCGCGCCCAAAATGCTTCTTTGAGGACTCGAAATGACTTATTGGAGAGCAGGATTCAGAGGCTGGAAGCGAATCAGGACTCACTAATTGCTATGTTGGCGGAACGTCGGTCTTCGTAGTAGACGCAGGGATCATGCTGTTTAATGAGTTATATAACAGCCTAATCTAAATGTTGACATGTAAGTTTCCTAGCCCGCCTCCTGGTCTGAGAAACAGGCGTGTTGCGTTGGGTAGTTACACCAAGAAATTTGGTACCGTGGTTTAGACCCTAGCATATCAAAGAATTTTGCGCACCGAGGCTACTGCATCTACATCTACAAAATCACTAACACAAAGGTTTTACATTCCAGAACTTATAACGCTCTCAATCTGAACAATCCTGTGTCTCCCAGGGAGAACGCGAAAATATTGGAAGAACACCAACCCGCGACACAACTCAGGCGATATCATGGACCAACTTGCGAAACAGACATCGAGTCTAGGAATCTTTTCCCCCAGAATTGGAAGAGGCTTCAACAACTTGCCAGGAGGTGAGCATCATAGCGTGTACACTTCACGCGCCCTTGCACGCTAACCTCCATCTCAGAGCTGCACAACAAGATATACGAAACTCTACAGCGATATCCCTTGCCAATGCCTTCGCTATTAGAGCTTCCTGCCATAAAGCGCGAGCAGAGTACTTCCCTGTGTACTTTCAGCAGGCTACAGTCCCGATCCCACTCTGCCATGTCCAGCCTTTCCTCCAAACCTTCTTCGCCAACGCAACCGCCAAGGCCATCTGCGCGCTTCGGGTGAACATGACTGCGTGCGAACCCAAGGACGATCCAGTCATCGACATGCTGTGGCTGCTCAGCTTCCTGCTCGCTCACCCCAGCATCAAAATCTCCTTCCACTGCGCCGACAAGTTCAAATACGAGGCATTGCATTTAAACGACCTAGTCAAAACTGCCCGGAAATTTCCAGCATGGCGCTCGCATCTGGACTCTATGCATTCCTTCGATCTCTTCACCCGGACAACTTGGTGTCGTGGCCTCACCAACGTGGCCTCGAAGTCCTACAGACCGCTCCAGCCGTGGGAACTCAAGTCCGTTTTCAAGCCTGAGCATTTTGAGGCGTGGTGGGACAATGAGGGACAACGCTATCAGAAGACGCAGCAGATGTTATCCGACCTTGGCGTGATGAAGGCCAACATGGATTGTTTCGGATATTACTGTAAATCTATTGCTCGCTTGCTTATGCACGGGTTTAAGAGAAATGACGAAGATATGAATGCCTATCATGAGAGTCGCGCTGGTTGGCATAGGCGGTGGTAGATAGTGGGGCTGGGTGTGGTTCTTGGGATGGCTTTGAAGTTGGCAGAAGATGGTGAGAGACCAGTGGATCGCGATCCGATGCACCGCAGTCTTAGAGCTGACGATATGGTCAATCGTGAAAGAACTTCAATTGTAGGACCATGTTAGTGAAGGAAGAACGATGCATCTTTGTCGTTATGTGTTGCGGCTGCTACCACGTCACCTGCATGGTACATGTCTTTGGTGTAGTAGAGCAGCTAAATATCCTCTAAACTAACAGTCATCTCTACCTCAATTGTAATAGACTCTACGGTACTCGTGTTAGGTTATGGGCGACTGTGGCGCTGACTTTACTTAATCGGGAAAGTATCGACTTAGCGATCTGTTTAGTACCATGGTAAGATCGCTCGATAGGTCGATGTTGACTCAACAGAGTCTCCGCATCTACTACACTCCTTCTATTGCTCGTATCTTTACCTAGGTAAGAAAGTAATTTTTTCTTGGTGAACTACAATCATACCTACCGTGTCTCCTAAGATGCTCAGACACTGTACCGACAACGCAAACTACCAAAAACAGCCGATGGCAGGACTATGAAATTGCAGCTTCGAATTCCTGAGATAGTTGTAGAGTTCGCTGATGACGGCCATACTAGTAGAAGCTAACTCCATATGTCATCTAACCATGGTACCGTCATCTAACTATGGTACCGAAGTATTGGCAACCACTATTTCCGCAATCGAAAGGTCATATCATGCGTGCTCTCTTCTCTTCAACCTTTTTCTCCCAAACTCATCCTCACAAAATGACGGACCATAAGATCACGAACCTTCACTCGAGCCCCTCAAACGATTACCTTCTTGAGCAACATCTTATAGAGTATTGGCACCACAATCGCGAAGAACATTTCCGTTTCAACCGCCGCACAATTTGGTCATCTTACGATCCATACTTGACTGTTCTCGGCGACAACCCACCTGTCCGCTTTCCCATATATCACCACTATCGCGATATGTGGAACAAGCCAACCTGCATGTACTTCGAGCCCTCGTCTTACTCGACTTCCCCACCCCGCATTGTCTTTGCGGCTATATACGAGGCCTGGCGCCATGACTGTGGCGAGTATTGGAATCCAGAGTACGGACACTTTATGGCCAATCCGGTGCGGATCGCGGAGCAGGGTCCGAAGACGCTGGGGGAAATCATCGAGATCCACAAAGAACTTTGTGCGCTTGGAAAGGAGCATGAGCCTAACGATGGAAAATATCGTATGCACAAATCGTATCCTCAGGTATTGCTAGTGTGTGATACGATGCCCACTTTCTCGAAGGAGGATGACGGATATGTCAGTTTGAAGAAGGTTGCTGAACAACAAACTGTGCTCATTGTTAAAACGAGGGTCCCAGGAGATATCTCCATCGATGAAATGGCTTCTCATGCGCTGCCTCTGGAGAGGTCCGACGTGGGAGACCTGGATGTCCTGCGCGTCCCGCTTTCGATAGCAGTGAAGTACATGATTGCGCTGGAAACTCTTATGGGAGAATCGCAGGGCAAGAATCCGAACAGGTTTGATACTGAATTGCTCACGGTTGAAACGCCCCTTGGCTTTGATCCGATCGTCACGCGTCATCCAGCGATGTGGGGTGCTGCGATGGTGGAGGTGGCTAGGAAGCACGGGAATGGTAGCATGGTGCCGTGGCGATGGCCTGCTTTGAGGATTGCTGCAGGCGTTTCCGGACAGCCGCATGAGTCCGAGGAAGATCATTGGAGACATTACTGGAAGCCTGGACATGAGTAGATCCTGGAGATGCGTGTCATGACGTTATACTAGCGGAGGATGTCGTTCTCAGGGTTGTGATCGACGGAGTGCTAGATGTAGACGTTGGTTCGCGCAACGCCCGATTGTAGTACATAAATAATTGTACAACATGCCCTAACTATGCAGCTCAGACAGCGACAGAATAATTATTTTCTATTTGGATGTCCGGGTGCCAAAATCGCTTCATTGAACACTACCGAGTCCGTTCAAAGATAAGGGTATCAGGAACGGTAAGCATTGAGAGGTGTGTTTTATGCTTCGTAGCTGACTAGTCCCGTAGAAGCAGCTTTTAAGCTCAAACTTAAAATGTGGATAATTGGTGTATATGCTAAGCCTGAATCTATATGTACAATTCCAAGTTTGCAACTCCCGCGCAGCAGAGTTGCAAACTTAGAAAATTATACTAAATTATCTGCTAGTACTGCTGCTACCTTCTCCTGCTGCTTAGAAAATTAATCATCTCTTATACGCGTTGCTATCGCCCTGCAAAGTTGTCATTTTCTGTCTGTGCCTATCGTTCTGACACTTTTAGGACACTTTCAGAACGCCTGCACAGTCTTTTCTATCGCAAAAGGACGTCGTTAGAGTATAGATTATCTATAAAACCCCTTTTTAATCCTTTGCCTCTGCGCTCTCCCTCCCTATCTCTCTCTCTCTCTCCTCTATCTATCGTGACAATGTGCAGATAACTGTGATCTTGTAACCTCCCTAGGTAATACAACTAACAATCTGACTTTCCTTCACTGGCCTATCACCTGGCATTCGTCTTGGTATGAAGGATCTCGGAAAACGAAGCGAGATTTGTGTACATGTTCACAAGTGCGTTGTTTTAAACGTAACTGGACCAGGTGCAGCAATAATTTGTGCGCGCTGTGCCTCACAATTCTAAGCACCGTATAAGAGCTATTCTGTCAAGCTGTCTATCTCTAAGATTATTCCTAAGACCCTTTTAATGCACTAATCAGCTATTGAGTCCATCTAGGCTTATATATGAGACGACAGCTGCTCTCTAATGGAAGGCCGAGTTTGCACAGAACGCGCACGAATTATCGCTGCACCTAGTGACTGAGTCTGAGCATTGTGGAATCTCTCGCAAACGCAGCTAATTGACGACAATTTTTTTTTGTCGTCTCGGTCAATCTCCAGCCTCCCGAGGGCTTCAAGTCCTGGAATGCGTCTTTCCTCTTCGGGAGTTGTAGTAGTCCCCACCACGCGCCGCAAGGTCTCGCGAGTTTGTAAACAAGCTTGTGCTTTGGGACTGGGAATATGTGGCTCGAAATCTCGACAGCAGGCAATCCATCGCGTCCATTATATGCGCGCTCCTGCTCATCATCGGCACCCTCTGCAGGCAGTGCGAGTTGACCCCACGCGACCTCCCGGGACGTGCGCGCGCAGGAGAATCGGAGTCTATCTGCATATGACGATACTTACCCAGCATGAGGTTCTACGCTGCTGCATTGCTCTAGTTGCTCACCTTTTTGAAGATCTCTTAGATGTTTGGTAGCTCGTGTAGCCCTTGTTTAGCGCGTACAGTAGGTGTTCTATTATGCACTTGCACTGTAACTTTAACTTTCGAAACAGCTAGCCTCTCCGTTAACGTTAAGTTACCCGCTAAGCGCTAAGATCCTTTGAGCTGCATTTTCAAGAGAATGTGAACACCTCTTCAAAGGGCCTGCACTAACTGCTCAACATTTATAAGATCTTGAATAGGCACAAGTTTGTATGAGAGATAGACTGAGAGCGGGCTACAACGCACGGATCGCCCACCGTTGCAGTCTAAAAACTGTCCCAAGAGGTTGCGTTGCACCATCATGCCCGTCCTCATATAGCCGTACGGGTCTGCTGAGCTGTGACTACTGACGCTTGGCTTGTAGATTCCCTCCTTGCTCCTCCCCGCGGATGACTTCTAGTACCTGTCCGACTTTATGACGCTCACATTTGCGACCACGAGCCAAGCTTGAGGAACATCCCTTGTACATCTTCACGCCCTCGTGGGTGGATATCTCCTGAGTCCTCAAACCTCATCGTAATCAACATCGCCGAGTCGACCGTGTCATCAATAGAGTTCTCGATCGCCACATTATAGACGTCTTTCTTAGAGCCATCTGGTCAATGACGCTGTCATCCGAGTACGAGTCTTCATCTCCTCTCGCAAAGCCGTAGGGGATCATGTATCAGTCGAAAGTCTCGTCTTATCAAAAGTGCCTCATGCAATAATTGTGGTGCTCGAACGAGGCCGGCGATTGCGCGTCCACGATTGTCGCTTGGAACCTGTGTAATGTCTCCACGTTGATTTCCGTCCACTCGCACTTGACAACCCTCCTTAAGAATACCGACATCATTTCGCCGTTAGCTCCGGTCTTTCGAATCGTAGCAATTTGACTCTTGAAGACCTTGGGAAGCTGCAGACTATGTTCGTATGCTTCACGGTCGTAACCCAATGCCTCCTTTTTGTCCTTGATGAGAGCCTAGTGGTCGTCTGAGATACGCTTACGCGTAACTACACGATATTCAATATGCGGCGATGGCAATGAGGGAATCGAATGCGTTGCACTTACTATCTCCACGTTAATCTCCGGTTAGACGGGGTCAACTTGATCATCCCGGAAGCCCTTACAACCCTTACTCCATACCGCGCGAAGTATGGTACACTAGGTAGCGTACAATCTACGGGAGAACTGGGATAAAGCTTAAGGTCGAGGCGATGGAGGAATAATCTTCGGAACACGAGGAACGGCTATAGTCTGTATTGAGGGAGCTCGAATTAGTATGCCGCGAAGGAGAGTGTGCCGCGAAGGAGAGTGTGCCGCGAAGGAGAGTGTGCCGCGAAGGAGAGTATGCCGCGAAGGAGAGTATGCTGCGAAGAAGGGTATGCTGCGAGGTTGGAATAGTCTGCGACGGGGGAATAGTCTGCGACAGGAAAATGGCTTCGAAGGAGGATCGCTTGTTATAGAAGAGGTTGGATAATGCTGACCTTGGACATGAGACGGCGTTGAGACGAGCTTTTGTCTTGTCTTGAGTTGATTGACCTGTTTCGCTTCCCCAAAGAATTGAGTACTGAGCCCCCTTACTGCGCCAAAGTACAGGTCGTAGGGGGTGTCTTTGTTTACAGGGTTTTGTCTCCCCGGGTTCCTACGGTTTTCCTTCCGGTTTAATCAGGTATGCTCCTGGGTTCCTGCGGTTTTCCATCCGGTTTGATCAGGTATGCTCCCGGGTTTGGCAGGTTTTCCTTCCTGTTCCATCCTCAAGCTTTTGCTTCTTTGAAGCGTATTTGTCCTCCGTAGGGCTTGGTACCGGAGTTGGACGAGCAGTGCAGAGTACTACTGCCAATGATCGACTCTCAGGCGGCGCGAGAAGGCTTAGCTCCTTGTCTCCAAACACCACGATCTTGTCAACCAGCCTGTATTCAAGCTCATGTTTGTGGTCCGATAGCATTCGGAGGGTACTGGCACCGTTCGGCGTGCCAAGAATAGCATGGAAGCCTGGGTCCCATTCGCTATACTCCACGTAACCGTACAGCTCTTCTCGAATCGAAGGCGATTGGCTTCGCGCCGTGAACATGACATCCTTCGTGTCATCGTTGACGATCTTCATGCGGACAATAGCGCGCAAGGGAGACACTTCAGGTCTTGGAAGACCCTTCCTATTCGCATCTTGTACCGCCGTGTTTATGGCGCGCTTCTAGCACTGCCAAAGAATCTCCGACGGAAACAGCTTTGTGCCCGGAGTTTTGTCTCGAAATTTGTAATTCTCATTACATATTATAGTCCCGTGCTTGACATCGAAGTAGTTGGAGTAGGCTGCGTCGACTTCTTTCGGGCTAAAGACGTCGACGTATCGCAAGCACCCGACCATGATGCCAGCCTGACCGAGCATCTTGCTGATGCTGTTTTCGATATTTGACCGAACCAGACCCTCCTCTATCTTGTAGTCGCAACTCTCCAGTGTCGCGGTCGGTGGCGGGGGGACCACGAAGCCCGAAAAGTTCCTCCATTTGGCACCGCCAATCACCCAAGTGGACCAGAAGAAGTCATGACGCTCGGCATCGGTTCTGAGAGAAGACATCGTAAATCTATGGTACAAGGAGTAGATCGTGGTTGTTTACGGAGGGGTTGTTGTTACTGGTTGATGATCTTGTTGTGGTGCTTTGCGTTTGCATCTACCTGACACTAGCGATGGTGAACTCCTTCCCTGGACACCGCCATCGCCTGCACCTTCGCTCTACAAAGATTAGAACCCAACCGTAACTTACTAGGTATCTTGCGGAAAAATGACGCCACCTTGCCTTCTTACGCTGTCCATGAGCTCCAGTACACGTATCGTCTCTGCCCAGGGCATCGTCTCGCTTTCGTGACGTCCAGCAACGATGTCAAGAACTACAGAATCAGCTTCCCAATATAAGCCCTTTCCAGGTCTCTCGAACTCGAACTTCGCATCTTCCCTGCCGCGCCTCTGTAGTACGAATGAGCTCGGCACCGAAGCTACCCACCCGTACACTATAATCGTACCCTCACTACCCTCAATTCTGCAAAAGCTGGGTGGTGACTGCATCCCTGCACCGGAATGCGAGGTAGCTATGCCTTGACGCCCATCTAAATACTGCAGGATCATGGACGTTGCAACATCCACGCCATCCGAGAGCGTTGACGTGGACAATATCTTGGGTGTCTCATGTGCTACTTTGTGTTCACCACCTAGAGGCTGCTCAAGTCCGATAATGGCCCAAGTCAGAGAGTAGATACCAATGTCGAGCAGCGAGCTCGCTCCCAAAGAAAGATTCTTCAACCGAGACTCAGGACCTTTAGAATCGAGGCCTTGGTCCATCGCAAAGTCGCACATCACGCGATGTACTCGCCCGATGGCTTTGTCTTCGTGAACGAGCTTTTGAACGCTTTTAACCAATGGGAAAAATCGTGTCCACATTGCTTCCATGATGAAGACGCCCTTGGCTTTGGCAGCATCGAACACCTCCTTCGCCTCCAAAGCATTCAATGTAAACGACTTCTCGCAGAGGATGTTCTTTCCGTGTTGAATAGCATCTAAGCAGTTTTTTTTATGGAAGGCGTGCGGTGTGCCGATGTACACAACGTCCACGTTAGGGTCGGCGTAAACTTCTTCATAGCTTCCGTACACGCTTGGTGCCAGAGGAAGATTTGGGAGGTGCTGCGCAACAAACGCTTTGCCTTTTTCAAGAGAGGATGAGCCGATGGCTTGAATGACGTGGTTCGCTCTAGCGTCTTTTCGCGCGATGGTCAAGTCGACAACAAACCACGACGAGATCAAGCCTGTGGCTACGATCCCCCAGCGCAATGTGGGTCGCTCTTCTGAGTTCATCGTAATGCTGAAGATGTCGATTCTTTAGAAAAAGGGACCCTAGGAACGAGTAGACTTGCTGAACGATTGAAAAGAAGCGACGGCCTGCCGAGCAGTCCAAGGCTTTACAAGAGGTGCGACTTGTATTTCGCTTTCTAAGGTCGGAAGTCAGTGATGTCGATTTGATCGGACGGAGCTGTAGACCATCAAAATTCTTTGCGATGGTAAATTGTTGCTGGGAAGAATTTGAAAAGAACGAACTGGTACCCCGCCCCGTGTACATCCAGGTTTCCGGTTAAAAGGCTCTTTCAGCTCGCGCCGCCAACTCACGACAAATGGCTGTAGACAACAAGTCAGATCATACCATCTTACATGATAGCAACGATATAAAGTTCAATTGAACTCGGTGTGGTGTGATGTCATTTAGAGCTATTCCAACATCCTGCCGCATACCACACAAGAAAACAAGTTCGTCTGCGATGGATGAGATCCACCTTTAGCATCGTAAACCTTTTTGGATCGTATAAGCAGATCACAGTCATTTCAGTCTCGGCCTTGACTACATGATACGAGCGATGTAGAAGGCTAAGTAGAGTGTAGATCATGATCTACTCAGTATGCACCAACATCCACTAGAACGCCACCAGGCGCACCCATGTATGTGCACGGACTCTTGCCTTTGGTGTTGAGGGAATCACTCCTTGTCCCACTGATGATGGAAGTTGTTTGGATAATGATGTGTGAGCAACAAATTTGCGCAGATTTGGACATGCGATCAAAACTGTCCTCTTCAAAAGTGAAGGTGGCTCACAAGTCATCACGACCATTGCACGTGCTAAGCCATCTGATTCGATCTGGAGCATATGGCAACGTTTGAATCCCATAACCAAATCCCTCGCAAGAGCTATTCTGAGCCGGCAGATGAGATATTTTAGACATCTGGCCCTCACAAAGACATCTGGCCCGCACATGGGGCGCTTTTGTACGGGGTTCGAGCAAAGGCTGAAGCTGTGGTCGCCGCATGAGGCACGATGTGCATTGAGGGACTAATTGGGCTTGATCACATTGGAACCGGGAATATGCCAGTTCAGTTTGTCGCTGAAAGTTATGGTATAAAGCTGACAGCCGTGCAGTCCGTCGACAACAGCACAGATCATACAACCGTGAACACCATTCGAGTCTTCAATCATGCGCGCCTTCATTATAGTTGTCATCTCGTCCTTGAGTGTCGCCATGGCCTGCAGCAAGGTTACCAAAGTAACCCACACCTTCTACGGCTATCCCGATAATGACCCGCCCGGTCCAGCCACCGCCTACGACTGTGGTCGCGGCTACAAGGCTGGGGGCACTGGCACGTACGCCGACCCGTTGACCTTCGCCTCCGCGCCAGGAGAGTTCAACCAGTGCGAAATCATTTACGACCCCTACACTCGCAAGTACCTTCGATTCGAAGACTTTTGCGCGCAGTGCGACAGCGACTGGAAGGCGAGCCCAAAGATCGCCCACATCGATCTCTGGACAGGGAGCGCGACTGTGAACGGCGGTCAAGACCAGATCAATTGCGAGAACAACCTTACGCCAAATAGCCAGACTATTGTGAGGCAGCCGTCGAAGAACCTACCTGTTGACTGTGAGTACTTGCTGTCGGCGATGAGGCTGAATGACACTAATACAACATCAGCTACTGCGTTGTATGTTAAGGGCGTCAATCCTTCTTGCAGGACCAGCCATGTGTACTCGAGCTACAACATCGGCGACTACTGCTAAGTCAATCGCTCAAGGGAAAGTAGTCAGACACGAGGATATTCAGGAGAGAGCCGTTTGAACCAATGACAGTCATTACCATAGTACAAGGGATTAAGATCGGCCAATAACCATCAGCAATTGAATACTATATTCGGAAAGTGCATGACCAGAATCAAGCTTCAATCTAAAGTGATGGCGCCATGCTTGCCTGATCTGCTTCCAATTGGCGTGTGTGGTGTAGAGGCTGACGTGAGACGGGAGTGGAGCGGCCCGAAGTATAGTATTCGCATTTGTGTCTGGTCTTTGATTATTGGTAGCGCGCGGAGTCTGCTTGCAGGATCATCTTGAACAGCTCAATGTCCTGCCTTGCATCTTCGATACTTGTCTTAGGGGCCTTGCTGTTGATCACACAGTCATGAAAGGCCAGCATCTCTAGCGTGTATGGGTCCATATAAGTCTTGCGCACCTTGGTTTCTTGAAATCCTTCCCTGACTCGTTGCTTGACCGTCATCGTGATAGGCAGGCCACGCACGTACGGCGTATCATACTGGATGCGTACAATCTTGTTCATGGAGTAGACCTCAATGTGTGCGTCGAATTCTGGCACGTCGATCACGCCCGACTCGTACGACACCGGGAAGTCTTTATACTTGAAAAGCACGTTGAAGATGCCCGGGTGAGTAAGCACGGCTCCTGCAACTGATTGAGGCATGCCGAGCACTTCTCGCAACGCCGACAAGTCGTGCGTTCCCAGCCTGGGATGTTCTTAGCCACTCGACTTCAGACAAAGACCGAAGACATACCCTCCCAACATTCGCAGCATGTCTCTCGATTCCGGGGTGACTGGTACACCAAACTCTTCGTGTAACGCCTGCTGGCACATGCGGGATTCGCGTACCAGTCGGTCTTGTGTGGCTGCCTCGCTGAAGTCGTTGAACTGTTTGGGGAACATGCCCGACTGCCCGACAAATGTCGCATTTGGTCCAATGATATCTCTTACTCGTGCATACTTTATCTCTGCCATGCTGCCGACCTCTTTGATCGCATCCTCGAGAGCCGCCGCGTGTCGCCTCATTGTGCCAACGAAAATTTTGCCTTTGGACTCTTTCTCTGCAAGGATGAGCAGGTCGATATCGCGGAAGCAAAGGGCTGCTGGCTTCTCGAGCAAGCAGTATTTGTTATACTTCAGCGCAAAGAGCGCATGAGGAAGATGATAGGCATCAGCGCTCGCGACAAGCACGACATCAACATCATTCGAAGCACACAGCTCTTCTGCATTGGTTGTTGTTTTTGGCTTTGAAGAGCCCAGTACTTTTGTTGCGCAATGAGCTAGTGCTTGCTGAGATACATCGCAAAGATACGTTGTTTGAAACCAGTCCGAAAGTGCGTTTAGGTTGGGAATGTGGATGACTTGTGACACTTCTCCGCAGCCGATGATGCCCACGCGCAGTATCCGACTGGAATCGTTAATGGATGTTGACGTCATTGTTCACGCAATCGCCAAAAAAAATGATGTTGGTTGCTCGGTCCTGATGCTGAGGTTTGGTTCTGGTGCGGAAGCCACCGTTGGCTCGGCCCGACATTTCTACGCTACTAGTGTCAGAGCGTAACGTTGAGGTCGGTGCGGCGCTCAGCTCAACGCGACGCTTAGCTAGTACTATATCTAGTTTTTAAAAGATAAGGCTATAATAACACGTATAATAGCTATTATTGCAAGATCTCTTAGTAGTTTAGTAAATAAGACCTTATAATTATTTTATACTATTTAAATTTACTTAGAAGCTTTATATTACGTCTCTATAATATTATCTTTAGTAGAGAAGATAGAAAGTATATAATAGCTTACTTAGCAGCTGCACTACTACTAGAACGTTTCTATTATTTCTTCTTAGAGAAGACTGCTTATAAGGCTTTACGCTTACTTCTTTAAGATAATTATATAGCTTTTTTAGCATTATGCTGCTATTTCTAATGCTTATATTTAGCCTATTTCTTAGCTTTCTCTTTTTCTCTTACTATCTTAAGTCTCTCTTATTCTATATACTTATTCTCTAGCTTAACTTAACGCTAGACTTTAGCAGCCTTACGTAACTCTTTCTTATAAGCTTTTTAGAGTTTCTTCTCTATCTTATTCTACTCTTTAACCTTCTTCTAAGTATAAGCCTCTCTAACCTTACTTAGAGACTATAAGATAGCTCTACTATAATACTCTTAACGCTATTAAAGGCTAAGTATATAATACTTACCTTTATGCTTCTTTTTAGTATTAAGAGAGCTATATAAGTTCTTATTTTCTATATAAAGTAGCTTATTTTTTACTTAGAGATAGTAGAGTATTTAGGTAAGCGCATTACTCTCTTTTTTTATCTCTTTCTTTATTGTAGCTATTATAAAAGCTTAGAGCTACCTCTAATTAGTTAAATTAAGCATAGAAAAAGTGCTAAGATCTTTATCTTTATCTAGTATTATTTTCTTAAACTATTTTAGTATAACGTTGCAATTCTTTAGCTATATACTAGTAGCTTTAAATAAAGCTAAGATTATTTCTCTAATAAAGAAAGAGATCTAGAAGGTCTAGAATAATAGAAAAAAGTTCTCTTTCTGCAATGCTATAAGCTCTTAGCTATAGTAAAAGAACTTAGTAAGTTAAGCTAAGTAAGCTAATAAGAGTAGCTTAAATATTACTACATTAAGTAGCTAAAGCATATAGGTTAAATAAGAAAGTAGTATAGCTAATAGAATCTTATTCTAATAGCAGTACTTAATAAAATCTATTATTATATAACTCCTATAGCTATCTAGAATAAGAAGCCTATATGCGCAATGCGCTCTCTTCTTAGTATAGTAATTAAATACTTATTTAAGCTATGCTAAGCCTATATTATTATTTATCTAGCTAGATAGAGATAAAGTAATATGCATCTAGTACTTGCTAGCCTTAATTTCTTATACCTAAGAAGCTTAAATATAGCTATACTTAGCTTTATATATAATATCTAGAGAAAAAGCATTTCTATCTACTTCTATATATGCTAAGATAGTAATCTATATATATAATCTATCTTAACGCATTGCCTAGACTTTTTTCTTCTTCTAAGTTATCTTACTAAATACTTATTTACTCTGCCTAATAGAGCTAATTATAAAGCTCTTCTTATCTATATTATAGAAGTTCTAGAGTAGAATATTATATTACTCTATCTTAGTGTATAAGAGATTAAAGTATAGCCTATATTTAGCTCTAGAATTAGCATTATAGCATATAGAGTCTATACTATTAGTCTAGTAAGAGATAAGATAAGTATTATTGCAGTTAAGAAAGCATATAACTTAGCCTTTGCCTACCTCTTTTTAAGCTATCTATAATGCAAAATTTTTAATTATTATACGCGTAAGTAGAAGCTCTTATTTAGTAAGCTTTTTAATATATACTATAAGCTCTAGTTTCTATTATAGGCTAAGTTTTATAGCGTTAACTCTCTAGGCATCTTTTAATGCTTAAATACTCTTATATCTTTAAGCTAGCGTATAGCAACTAATATTATATTTCTTAGTAACTATTATATATAAGAAATAATTATTAAGACTATAGGATTTAATTTCTTTAATTATAGCTTAAATTAGTTCTATATTAGTAGAGTTATAACGCGTTAAAGTATAGTAGTTATTAGAGGTTTTAGTGTTAGCTAAGCGTCGCGTCGAGCCGAGCGCCGCACCGACCTCGACGTTAAAGCTTGCGTCATCGTCGCATTCACAGTTACTTTCGCATTCTTCTGGGCTTCACAATTGCGCGAGGGCATCGCAAAATGACACTTCGTGCGGCGATAGCTTAACGAAGTCTAATTGCATTTCTCACTTGTGTTCTCAACGTCGTGTATACAAATCGCTATCGAAAGCAATTAAATCACGAAACGATTCAGGGTCAGAATGAAACTTTTGAGGGTACCTGCCTAAGATCAAAATTACATCCAGCTTCTACTCCATTACAAACTTCCCAAAGGCTTAACATGCTGTTTCCAAACATCCAAAAACGCCCTGCGATCCTTGCTGCTTTGGAATTCGATATCGAGTTTGGAGTAGCCGAAGGAATTGATGTTTCCGATGCGGGTTGATGCCTTGCTCCTACCAAAGAACGACCGCGACGTCCTTATCGATGCCGTTGATGAAGCCGCAGAACCACCTGTGCCTGAGCGTATGATCCCAGGACTCTCCATTGAGTCATGTCGCGCCCTGCTGGTAGGGCTTGTCTGGCCATTGCTGCTCGATGATGCTTGAGAGGATCGACGTCTCTGGAATAGCTTGTCAGGCGTCCATCTGCTCGGGTCTTTCGAATAAGACAGGGTCAATTTATCGCTGTCCTTCTTGTACACGGATTCCGTGAGCCACTCAAACGCATAATGTGGCTCTTCGACCCAATGGCCTTTTCCCTCGAGACAGCTGGTATAGAACAAAAAGATCAGCACATCAGCGTTCATCAGCCCATTTGACTCAAGGTGCAGCTCGGTACGTCGCCAAAGGCGCAAATTCCTGCCACGACATTCTGGCTTATGCTTGTCCGAGGAGATGGTGCGTATCGGTCGATCGAACATCAATTCAGCCGCGTCTTTTCCATTATTGGTGTACAGCAGAGTTTGAAAGACGGAGGACGACTCTGAATTGCTGAACGTATACCTGATGTCTAACCATTGTTTGTTCAAACGACCAAAAGATCCTCTCGGGAAATCGACGGAAATGTCTCCATCGATCGTCGTCGTGAGCGGAATCGATGGCCCAAGAGCAGGAAAATCCTGAATGCTCCATAACTTGGCCTTTTTATCCTTTGAGCGATAGGTGGCTCGCAACGAAATTCCTCCATCTTCACGGTATTTCCAATGCAGATAGCATTCCTGAGTCTCAAATACGGTCTTCTCCTGGCCGCTGACACGTTCGGATGATTTACGCTCGACTTTCGCCTTGCCACCCAAATCTGTCCATTGCAGCGCAGCATCGCCAATGTTGAGTGGCACCAAAGATGCAGTCGAAAGCACATGACGCAAAGTGAACGACAATGCATCTTCTGGCGACGTAGCAATCGTACTTGTTGCATCTACGTCTAGACCGAGTGAAGGCGACAAATGTCCATTTGGGAAGATGCTCTGCATTGTCGATACCGATGATCGATTTAGGTTCTCCGATATCGAAGAGGCAATTGGTGATTGTGCCCATTGGTTTGAAATGAAGTACTCTTGCTCGGTCTGCGGACTGCCTAATGCTGGCGACGCCGTGCCCGGATTTGGTCGAAGTGTTGCCAGTGATCCACCAATGTCAACACCACCGTGGAGCGCATCATAGCTGCTTGATGCTTCGGTATCGATAGTGTATGTTCGAGGCCGAGGAGCCGGCGGCATTTCTCGAACCTGTTGCTTCATGGCGTCGCTCGGTGCAAGATGTGAACGTTTCTCGACTGCTGCTCTCTTTGCGCGATTCTCTTCGAACATGATAGCATCTTCGACCTCGCATCGCAAGCGATGTAAGACAGCTGAAGTTCCGCTGTCAACACCTCCCGTGGTTGCAGGTGTATCTCCCCATGAAGATGGTCGCACGAGCTGTAGATCTTGACCCATGCGCTCGTCTTCCGTCTTGAGCCACCTGTTGAAGATCTCCCAGTCTTTATACAAAGGATGTGCATCGTCTGGCGCTGGTAGAGCTAGTGGGGATGACGGCGAAGATTGGGACGCAGCGCCAACTGCGCTACTGGTGTACCATTGGCCCCCAAGGCTAGCAGCTCGATGACGCGGCTCAAGGAGAAGTCGTTGTTCCCTCCTCGAAGACTCTAAGCTAAGGCGTCTAGGAGGTATCAATACTCAGCTACGGCTCGTAGTGCTTGACTTACAGCTGCAAGAACGAAAGGCACATGTTCAGAGCCTGATAATGACCCGAGATCTGCTTCCGGAGGCCATCGAGCTCCTTTTCCTTCCCAATGTACTTGATCGTCCACACGAATTTGGATGCGCTCATCTTCTTGTCGACAAGATTATCTTTGTATGGCCTCAGACTGGCTTCACATTTCTCCAAAGTCTTCTTGAACTCGTCGACTGGGAAGGGCAGAGGCTTGCCAAATTCCTTCATTAGCTCGTCGAGCTCGAGAAGACATATTGCAAAAGCCTGAAACTCGCGCACGAGCGACTCAACCTGTGCTTCCGAGTTTTCGTTCGCATCTACATGTAGGCGAGCTTAACGTCAGTACTGACAGCGACCCACACAGGCAGTGACATACCCTTGAATGCGATGTACACCCTCGTCGAAATCTCCACCAGCTTCACGGCATCTGATGGGCTGAATCCAAAAGACATCGCAGATTGCTTGCGCCGCGCCCAAGCGCAGCTATGCTCAGATTTCAAATTCCCATGCAACGTTACAACAGGTAGTCAACAACAAGAAGCACCTTTACGAGAGCACAAGGCTCCCACAAGCAGAGAGAAGGTTGTATGAATTGTAGTCAAGGCCCACTCCAAACGCCCGGATCCTGGCTGGCAGGGCTATCCCAAAGGCAGACCGCTGCTGTGTGCGGGGCTCAGCGTATTGGCCAGGCGTTCCAGATGCTGGCATGGCTGCACGCGCACATGGGGGCTAAACAGTCCAAACTGCACGTTGACCTGTCAAGTTTTATCGAGTGGTCGAAGCGTCCACTTCGTGAAGCTTGTGGCGATGCAAAGAGGCGTATCTCCATCAGGCAAGGCGGCTTCTGACAATGGATCCAGAGCATACCAAAACACCACGTGGGGGAGCGAACCGTCAACCGTGACTCTCCACCACGCGACCTCCTATATTCATGCATCTACTTTCGGGACGCAACTAGATAACTGCGACATCCCTATGCAGGTTCTACAAGCACGGATGACTTCCACGATGTATCCGACAATGCTCGAGACCGCGTACCTGCATCGAGGCAGCGACGCGCACGCGAGCTGTTGTCCAGTACATGGATCTCACACGCTACTCCCCAAGGAAACTGTCACCGCCGGGTCAAGTGAAGTTTTGGCGAGGCTTTGATGCGCACCCTCGCCTGGAAAGACGCCACCAGTTTTCTCAACACGAGCGTAATCATGCACAGATGGCCGTAAGCGCCTGGCCCCGTGCTCAAAGTGTTCACCGGTCTGCTTCATGTACTGGGCTGTGCATATCTTGACAGAGGTCATCTTTTGGAAGTTGACATTTAGTGGAGGCTGAAGTCTTGCACAACTTCATTGATATGAATAGGTGCATCTGAGCGATGAGGTCCTGGAGCATCACCAAACGCCAACCGACATACCAATTGCTACGTCCTTACATGTAACGGGCTCTGCGTAGCATTACGATATTTCACGCGCCTTTCAGCCTTATCCGAGAACATGGGTCTCCGAAAGTGGGTCTCGCGACCGTTGAGGGGCCGTCAGATCGGAGTTGAAAACCTTATCGCGGGTGGTGAAGGCATACCAGTAAGGATTCACATTGCACTCGAAGTCGTAGGCTTGCATTCACGAGTCTCAAAGCTGATGAGCGATTTAGGAGGCAAAGCGAAGAAGATGGACTCTTCAGACGATCGACCAAGCGCCGTTCCAGATATGGGTCGTGGTTGTCGCTGGGATCGGCTTCCTAACTGACGCTTTTGGCTTGTTCGCCCTCAATGTCGTAACTCCGATGCTAGGCTATGTATACTGGCCCAGCAATGATCCAAATGCCGTTCCTGAGGTGCCATCGTCTGTCAAGACAGCCATGATGTGTTCCACGCTTGCTGGTACCATGATAGGGCAAGTGGGATTCGGCTTCGCCGCCGACATCTTAGGTCGGCGGAAGATGTATGGACTGGAACTCGTCATCATCATAGTAGGGACTATGTTTCTGTTGATGAGCTCGAACGGTGAGAGAAACAGCATGCATGTCGCAGGCTGGCTCATAACTTGGCGAGCTATAATGGGTAAGTACGAGTTCAGGCCTTGATCATCTAGGGCGACTGCTAACACTGAGCTGTAGGAGTGGGAATTGGTGCGGATTACCCTTTGAGCGCTGTACGTTGGGCTGTTCCTTTGACGCCGTTCTGACACGAACTAACAATACTACAGGTCATAACAGCAGAATTTGCGCCTCGGAGATATCGAGCTCGCATGCTTTCTTGGGTGTTCTTTGCTCAGCCCGTGGGACAACTCCTTGCAAACGTGCTGTCTTTGGCAGCCGTCGAAGCGTACAAGCCATGGATCGAACGGTCCTCGCACTACTGCAAACCAGACGACGACGAATGCTTCCGCGCAATCGATCGCCTCTGGAGGCTAGTTGTCGGTATTGGCATAGTCCCAGCAGTCATCGCATTAATTTTTCGCTTCACGATACCAGAATCGCCTCGCTACACACTGGATATTCTGCAAAACACGCGAGCAACGCTAGAAGATACAGCCAACTACTTCGATGCACCTGAACTTCACGCCGAGCATGGGCCAGTCGAGATGTTCCCCACCAGACCCGAGATCCACGTCTCGCCCCGCACTTCTATTTGCTCAGGAATTGGACCAGACGAAATCATTGAGGATGACAGCGATTCTGACAGAAGACCAAGCGACGCACATCTTCGCCAGCCATCTCCAGAGCCGGACCTACCGCCAGGTGACCCCAACTTCGTTCCGCCTCTTGCTTCTTGGACAGACGCGAAGAAGTTCTTCATCGCCGAGGGTAATTGGCAGTACCTCCTTGGCACATCATTGGCATGGCTATTCCTTGATTTTGCATGTACGTTATCCGCAGGCTCAAACTCCTTCCATTTACTGACATATTCCACTAGTCTATGGTCTTGGACTCTCGTCGCCGCAGATTGTAAGCAACATCTGGGGAGACCCAAAGATTGACAAAGTCGTATCAAAGTTTCCCTCCGTTTATGAGACGCTCCACGGTAACAGCTTACACACACTGGTCATGGTATCCATCGGTACTATTACCGGTGGGCTGCTGATGATCAAGATTGTGAAGCATGTTTCACCGAAGACGATCCAATTCTGGGGCTTTCTTGTCCTGTTTGTGTTGTTTATCGTCACTGGTAGTGCGTGGAACAAGTTGCTGGACAGCAGTCGATCCGGGTTGATCGTGCTTTACGTCTTAAGCCATATCGCATTCAACCTTGGACCAAACGTGACGACGTTTATCGTAAGCTTGTCCTGATCCATCTGCTCGGCTCCGTACCTCTAACAGCACACTAGATACCAGCCGAGATCTTCCCAACTCGATACCGCTGCACATGCCACGGCATCGCCGCTGCTTCCGGCAAGCTGGGCTCATGGCTAGTTCAAATCTTCCTCGCATATGCCTTCAAGTCCGAAGATGCGGACGACCAAAACTCATGGACAAATGCGCGTTTCAAAGACTTTGGTAAGGTCTTGCAAGTCATGAGCGCGTTCATGGTAGCCGGTGCGATTACGACATACTTCCATGTGCCGGAGACGAGAGATCACGATAATAAGAGTAGGACACTGGAGGTGCTGGCGTGTGGAAAGAAAGTTATTGATGAGCTGAATAAACAGAGGAGAAGGGAGGATGAGGATGACTCTTGACTGAGTGCGGAAATTTAGCAATTCGACCGGTGAAATCAACACTTTCTACCACTGTAGCATTGATGCGGTTTGACATATTCGCTTCGCGTCACGTTGAAAAGATTGTAAGGGGTTGGCGGGTGACGCAGCTAGCTCCTTACCCTACATGTGCTGCAAGATTTAGTACATGGTATGCTCAAACCCATGATCACCATCATTCGTGTTGAACATCAGCCTGGTTACATGTACAGACTTTTGTGGCGTGATCAATCGCTAGATAAGCTTTTAATCTATACAGGCTTAGCTATCGCCCTCACTGTAGGCTTCAGTCGCTAATAGGGAGTCGCCTTGGCGTGGTGTTTTCTGGGATTTACAACGCAAGTCACGGCAGCTCAGCTCAATTTCTTATGATTGAGTCTGAGAAGGCAGCCACTATGTGCTGCACCTTAGACACCAATTCAATGATTGAGGAACGAGATGACGAAGATGCATATTGCCAGCGTGGTAACTCCGCCGCGCAGGATAATAATTTCTGGCGTATTGCTGAGTGTCGCGTTGAAAGGCTCGTGGTATTCCCGTCTATACTCGTGGCTTTTGCATCTTGATGCCTTCTGGAGAGTAATGTGTGACGATTCTATCTTCGTGGTTAATGGGGCTGTCCTTGGAAGTCGTAGCGCAATTATGTCGGAGCTCGCAATGATCAAAATGTAGCTGTCTCACTTGAATTCGCCTTTCAATCTTGAAGATTCAACAGGTTGTACCCCGCTCTTCGCGGCACATGGATTTGTGGCTGGAGAGAGAAATATTTTCTTTTCAGCACGAGGCTACCTTGGTTGGGCTCCACTTCAGACCGCAGTTGGCGATGTGGTTGTGGAACTTTGTGGAGGCCGTGTGCCATACTTCATACAAGATACAGAACTGAATCTGGAAACATGTCCCTTGGGAGATGAAGGTGATTTGAAGATTACTCCCCCGAGGCCTACCTAATCGCTTCTTGGGCGATGCGTAGCTGCAAGGCTTCATGGATGGCGAAGGGTACGGCGAGGAAAATCTCGAAGACATCACACTCGTCTGATAATTGTGCTTATGTGGAATAGCGGGGCGATGCCGGCTTTGCGTCGTTTAATTGATTGTGTGAAACGTGCAAGCTTGACACAACAGGGAAAAGATCTATTGCTGTCAGGGTAACCAGACAACTTACCACTTCCATGCCATTCTCTTCTTTCTTCCCCAGAAAACAGCCACCGGATCAGCATAGTCATATGTTTGTAAATGTTTACGAGGGCGATCTCATCAATGTTCCCTGTGAACGTCTCTATTCGGCAGTCAGACCGAGCAACATGGCTGATCACGATGGCATGAAACATGATGTATATTGTTCTCTTGTGAGGAGAGTCAACGTATTTTTCCGCGACATGGGGTCGTGCAGTTTATGGGGCGGATAATGTTCAAATCTTCGCTTGCACTCATTCTAAGCGACGACGATACTATGCAACTGCTGATCCACTGGAGTTAGCCTGTGCTATGTTGTACAGCGCCAAGTCTTGGGACTTTGGATGTCGGAGCATTCCTCCAAACCTGGGGTACAGCGGCAGTTGGGTACCGCAAACATCATTAGTGCCCGAGTGATACGTCGAGCGAGGACGGAAAGCGCAAAAGATGAAGAGTATATATATCAAGAGTTGGCTCCCAGGTCGAGAAGCAGTCATTCCACTCGGAAAACAACCTACTATCTTTACCCAAAATGCGCGGTCTTTTCAACTCTGCCTGCCTCTTGCTGGCGCTCTGTGCCCACAATCTTCGCAGCCAACTCTGCCGGCTGCGGAAAGGCTAAGACCCTCACGAACAAGCAATACTCCATGCAAGTGAACGGCAAAAACCGCAACTACTTTCTCAACATCCCCGACAACTACGACCAGAGCAAGCCTTACCGTCTCATCTTCACTTGGCACCAATTGGGCGGCAGCGCACAGAAGATTGTGAACGGCGAGAACCCGAACGCCGGTGGTGCGCTTCCTTACTACGGCCTCAAGGCCGTGGCTGACAACTCAGCTATCTTCGTCGTTCCCGATGGCCTGAATGCAGGCTGGGGAAACCAGAATGGGGAGGACGTTACTTTCTTTGACCAACTTGTGAAGACAGTCGAGGCAGACCTTTGCGTCAACACCGACCTTCGCTTCTCTACCGGCTTCAGCTACGGTGGGGCCATGTCTTATGCTCTTGCATGTGCTCGTCCTGAGATGATTCGTGCTGTTGCTGTCATCTCTGGCGCGCAACTGAGCGGATGTTCTGGTGGCAGCAAGCCCGTCGCGTACTACGGCCAGCACGGCACCAGCGACTCAGTCCTCAACGTCCAGATGGGCCGCCAGTTGCGCGACAAGTTCGTTGCAAACAACGGTTGCACGAAGCTTCAGTCTGAGCCTGGTCCAAACGGCGGCAACTCGGTCAAGACGCAATACGCGGGGTGCAAACAGGGCTATCCAGTTACATGGGTCATCCACAACGGCGATCACAACCCCTCGCAGACTAACTCCGGATCTACAACTCCGTTTGCCCCAGGAAACTCATGGGAATTCTTCAAGCAGTTTACGTAGATGTGTTGGTAGTATGTGGTTGGTGGAAAACACGCCCCTAGGCTAGTTTAGATGAAATGCCAAGCCGGTTGCCAAGTATTCCTCTCCACTATGCATACTGCTATGTGCGATCATTCGGCATATTGAATGCCATGTCGATCGTAAGTGCCGGTGTTCCGAGACTACAGCCAGCCTGGCTAAACAGGGAAGCCCTGTAATCTTGCTGGACGACAATGAAAGTGAAGAGTCGGGGAGCATAAATTATCTCCGCACCGACGAGTAAAGTGAGACCTGACCCACGAAGAAGATGATAATGGCAGTCACTGCAACGACGGTGTAGGTGATGGCGACCTAAATTTGAGGATTAGTAGATGCGTCTAAGTTCTCCGCTTTGGTCTTACCTTCGTGTTGTCGTCCCATAGACTCGGGCTCTGCAGATGTGTCGTGCTGACCAGACATGCAGGAACATGCCCACGATCATACAGATAGTAGCGCTTGTCAAGAACATGACCGGCATCTGCCACGTCATGATCTGAACTAGACTGGGTCGAAGATTACCGCTCTTCGGTGAGGGATTGCCTCCGTTGTTCGCGAGGAGTCTGCGAATGTGTTCAAGCCCATCGCGGTGAGAGGAAAGGCGATGTAGCCGCACCGTCTGGTCTGCAGCTGATAGAATGCTGAAGAGCGAGAGAATGATGCCACAGTACCAAGATGTGCGTACAGACCACGGCGACTCTTCGCCGTTTGGAAGGATGTTGGGCCAGCTTCCAGTAGATGTAAGAACGCCAGCCAAGAGAGCAGCCTGTTAGGGGTCAGCCCATGTGGTATGCTCCAAGTGCTGCGGCAGATGAAGTCGCGATATTCTGTGGCGCACATGAATTTGCACATACCACAATACCAACGAAGTTCAACTCGCTGAGCTTGTTGTCTCTCCAGCGAGCGGTAAGGCTGTCCTTGCGCCTATCGTCTTCGTTGAGTATGATCCTAATGGGATCGTAAGTTGATGGATTGGGTGCGTATATGCCCCCACCGAAGAAGTCCAAGATGTGTGTAATCGTCCATGTGTCGTCGTCCTCATCAGCCGGGATGCGTTGACGCGATGATCTCCCAAGCATCGGTGTCCGCTCGCCAGCGCCTGAATTCTCAACGTCGTCATTATTGGAAGCCATGTCGTGCGATGAATCTGGCTGCTAATTATGAGCCGGAGGGGAACGTATGTGCAGCCCCAGATTGATGATCTTGATATTGTCGCTATCCTCGATCGTGCGACTGTTGTTGTTCACGATAGAAGTCAAGAGGAGCAGAAACGTGGAGAGCTGCGTGACCGATGACGTATGAGCAACGTATTTCGACTAGGCCTCAATGCGGGCAAGCTTGTCGCAAAACAACATGCGTGACTAGAACTCTCGCAGCCAGTGAATAATTCGATTCCATGATATCGAAACTACGTAGACATCGCAACTCTGATCCTGCCTGCCTGTGTGCAACGTCTACTGCGCCTCTGCAAATAGATATAATAAATCTCCTGTATTCTATTTTCCCTCTGCCTCTTCTAAGTTACTAGATAGAACAATAGTAAGTTAGCTTTATAACTTCTCTAGGCTTAGAAGTTACAGCTAAACTCTAAAAATGTAAGTAAGCAAAGAATGCTTCTGCTAAGCTTTAAGCTTATTGCACTTAAGAGAGACGTAATAAGCCTCTGTTTATAAGCAGTTATACTATAAAGCTTTCTCTCTTATATAAAGGCAAAAGAAAGATTATTATATTATTACAATATATTTAAGCCTATATGCAGAGTTAGTGTTCTACTTCTAATAGTTAGCTTAAATCTATATTATAGAATATAAGTTACTTATTAATTTATTAATAAGAGTTATATCTTTGCATAAGCAGAGAGAAGAGATATGCAGAGAACGCTATTTTCATAAGCAAGCTAATAAGGCACTAGTCCTAACAAACTAGTTTAAATCATAGTAGCGTCTTACCAAAGCGGAAGCCTTTAGTAAAAGAATCATGATGTCTTTACCGGCTAAGATCTAAGCTACGTTGACATCTAGGTTAAGCTAACAATAGTAGACGCTGCGCTAGCATCGGCATTATTCGTACACGTTTTCGGACCGTCACGAGCCACGACCACCATCATCTTCACAATGTTTTCTTCCTATAATCGAATAGGTGCTTCCCGCATCAAGCGGAAGATTCTCGCATGAGCCGTCATAGCGCGACAATCGACACGACATATGATAGCATCGCATAGTTCCTCCATGGACACTTCGAAAATAACGGGGTCTTCTTCCAACCACGTTTCGCACGTGTCTTGCTTCGACGCGTTTATCTGGCACCACCAATGGGTTGTGGCTTGACTAACAGCTTGGCTACCTGCGTGCGCCCGACATCCGACAGCAGGCAGAACTCGCATTTTAGTTCGACGACGTGCGACTCCCCAGCATCAAACGCGTGAACTCTTCCGACATATCGATGTGACCTAATTCCAAAGCAACAATAGCAATGATATGTGCTTTATGACTGCCATGAGCCTCCAATAGCATTGTTACCCATGAGGCACAAACCAAGTGTGCGAGCAGCGAGAAGGATGCCTAATCGAAGAGAACATTAGCGCTGCTGTGTATGTAAGAATGTCGGTGCACGAAGTAATCAAGACGTACCAGCGCAAACGGCAGCCAGAGATATGCTGATGATTGGCACGGCGACTAGGGGCTCAGCTGCCGATGGAGCATGCAGCAATCGTACGACTATTTGGCCCGATCGACGAACATTCAAGCAGCTATCACATCGCCCACACTCGATTGAGTCATCGCAACCAATATTGGCAGAACGCGCACGGTAAGCGACGCTACAGAACACCAGAACATGCCCAAAGTCTCAAGACCTCGCGATGCAACGGAAATTATGGATGCACCGACCCTTCATCCCAGCTTTCTTATCGATATCGGTCATTCTGTCGGTCTCGGCAATTCTATCAACAAAAAACCCGAACATGGTAATCTGCTTGTCGGTCGCTGTGTACCCCACGGGATACGGAAAATCTACTTCATGCCTCCAGCCTCACTCTCTCTAACTTCACGTAACAATCTACAGGTTCCCTCGCAAATTTCTGGACCGCATCCCAGCCTGCAAATTCTTCCGGCACTCTGCTGAAGACGAACTCCCAAACTAATAATGCAAACTGCATCTTCAACGCCTGTAGCGCCAACCGTTTCCCAAAGCATCCGCGTGGACCTAGCCCAAAAGCCAGCTGTGGCCCCGCCATTGAATTAAAGGACCCATCGGGCCGCAGCCAGCGTTCGGGGTCAAAGGTGTGGATATCTGAATCATCCCAGAGAGACGAAAGCGCTGCTTTTGAAGGATTCGCGCCGGGGGAACGCACGCAGTGAGACGGCAGAGGCATGTTGGGCTTCAGATAGCCTGCACCGTTGGCCATCAGAAACACGTCTGTGCCTATACATATTAGGATTTCTGATATCAGATTGATAATAGTGCTAAGCTAGCTCATGCACACCTAAGAGTTAAGCGATATTATAGCAGAGTTAAGCAATATTTTAATAGAGTTAAGTAATATTTTAATAGAGTTAAGTAATATTTTAATAGAGTTAAGTAATATTTTAATAGAGTTAAGTAATATTTTAATAGAGTTAAGTAATATTTTAATAGAGTTAAGTAATATTTTAATAGAGTTAAGTAATATTTTAACAAAGTTAAGTATTTTAATATCTTTTTATAGCTAAAATTGCATATAAGCAGAGTGTAGCTATTACTAATATATTATAAGAGATTATTAGAGATATTCTAGGTCTTATTATAGTAATATTAAAGAAAAGTAAAATAACTCTGCCTGCTTTCTCTTATCTTAATATAAACTATTATTAAATAATAACGCTATCTCTAATAACCTATATATTTATGCTATACTATATTATGCTAACATTATTACTATCTCTAACTTTCTAAACTAACTATTAACTATTACTAGTAGGTAAAAGAAATTCTATAGAGTCTCTAATTACTAACTTATTCTTAGTTACCTCTTCTAATTATAAAGATAGTGTTGTAGCTAAGTAAACTATAAGAGAAAAGATTATATTAATTACTGCTCTTCTAATCTATTAGAAGAGCTAGCTTAAATATATAAATAGATTATAAAGAAACGTTAGTCTACTTTCTAAGCTTAGTTAGCTTAGTTACGTAGATTAGCACTTTACTATTCTTAGGTATTAATACTATAATATACTCTCTATCTTAATTACTTTATTTAATTAAGATAATGTTACGTAGTTATTATGTAAATAAGTAATTTCTCTGCTTCTGCGCTAAGCCTAACCTCTAGAACTAATTTAATTGCTGCTACTGCTACTTAAAAACTTAAAATATTTAATTTAATTGCTGCTACTGCTACTTAATAAACTAAAATATAAAATTTAATTACTGCTACTGCTTATATAAAAGGTAATTAGTTCTAGAAACTAATTACTTTGCGCTTATACTTTATATATATCTACTTTAAAGTGCAGATACTATAAAGTAACTAAAGTATTTCTTTTCTTTTATTACTTCTTAGAATAATATACTACTTATATACTCTATATATCCTTTGCTAAGTAACGTGCACTTAGCTCTATAATCTATAGCTTACTTATACGTAATTTTATAAGCAGAACGCTATACTTCTAGGCTGCTGTCTATGCTAAAATAGAATAATTATATAATTCTATAAGAGTATACTACTTATCTTAACTCTGCATATCTTATTATTACGTATAAAAGACCTTACTATATAATAGTAATAAGCCTAGAGGTATATTAACTAATATCTAATCTAATAGTTTACTGCTCTTATAGCCTAGTTAATACTTTAGCTTAAATATATTAAGTTATCTCTCTGCGTTAGGCGCAGTAGTTACTGCATTTATTAATAGAAAGCAGATATAGAAGGCGTCTAATTATAAGCTGCCTTTGCTAGTAGCTAAGTTTCTACTTTAAAGTATCTCTTGCAGTTATAATAAGAATTGCTATAATAGCTGCTCTACTAAGAATATAATATACTTAATATTTAGTATAGTACTCTCTAGTAGCGCATAATTCTATTATATAATAGCTATAGCTAGCCTTTATAGACTAGAAGTTAGCTATTTTTATAAGTTACTGTTATTATTAGCAGCGTTCTAAGAATAGAAAAACTATCTATATCTTATCTATATAAAGCTTAGTTCTAAGCATACTGTAAAGTTATACTAGCATAGCTAATCTATAATATCTTCTAGTATTCTTATTACCTGCAAGTACTTATAAAGCTAATGCTAAAACTCTAGCTATATATTTTATAGTTTTGCACGCTATAGTAAGTTAACTATAAAAATAAGATTATAGAGAGAACTTCTAGCTGCGCTTATATGCTTACTATATTCTGCTAGCGCTACGCTCTAGTCTGCGCAGCGTAGATTTCTAGTAGAAATAGTAAGTTATAAGGTATTATCTTTGCAAAAGAGTAATATAAGTTTTCTATATATATAGCCTACTAGGTTATAGTATAGTAAAAAGTGCTATTACTATAATATCTAAGTTCTATAATATATGCGCGCTGCTTATAGCGCCTAAGACTTCTAGCTATTACTATTAGCAATAAATATTATATTAATCTAACTTAGCTCTACTTTATTAAGTAACTAGTATAAGTTAAAATGTAATAAACTTAGAATAGCGTGCTCTAATATATTAATATTTAAGATATCTAGAAGTATAATATTGCTACGCCTCTTATAATATAAGATCTAAACGTGCTTTATCTTACTATATAGATATATTAGATAAAGCTGCTTCTATATATCTAGTTAAATGCGCTTTAAGGATAAGTATTAGATTATTAGGCATAGAGTATTCTTATACTTCTGCTTAGTTTGCTTATGCTCTATAGTAAAGACTACTAACTATAGAGGCTTAAGTATATATAACTGCGTAACGCTCTTATATCTCTTACTCTCTTTACTCTCTAATAAGATAAGATTAATAACCTCTATATCTCTCTAAAAACTTAGAATACTAAGTATTAGCTACTAGGATTATAATATGCAGAGAAAAGATACTTTATATAATATAGTAGCGTTGCGCTGCTATCTTACTGCTAAGACTAGTAAGATTACTCTTATTTCTATATAATAGTTATACGTTTATAATAGGCGCTATACTTATAAAGTAGAAATAGAAACTACTTTTATAGCTATTATAGAATAAGTATATAAAGAAAAAGAGAAAGTATAAAATATACTTAAAAGATAAGTATTACTAATAGTGTAGTTATCTTTCTCTATACTCTATATATTAGCTAGCTTATGCATAGAATTATAGAGAGTAGCAGCTCTTATAATTTTAAGTAGTAGCTCTTATAAATAATAGTAGCAGGTACTAGAATTTTAAGTAGCAGCTCTTATAAATAATAGTAGCAGCTACTATAATTTTAAGTAGTAGCTCTTATAAATAATAATAGCAGGTACTAGAATTTTAAGTAGTAGCTTTTATAAATAATAGTAGCAGCTACTATAATTTATAAGCTATGCTTCTACTATGCTCTACTACGCGCTAGCGTAGACTAGGTATAGTTAAATGCAAAAGCTATATTATGTATAATATTAGTTTCTAAAGCTAATTATTATCTTATAAATTAGACTCTCTAGCAGGCTATCTAAAGAAATGAAGAGATAGAGGTTTAGTAGTATTAACTACGTTGCTGTTGCTATCTTAGAAGCTATTAAAGAGACTATTAAGTAAGCTTATATTATTAAATAAACTACTTAATATTCTATATAACTATTAAGGCTAAGCTAGCCTTACTTAAGCGAACTAGGTTAGCGTAGAAGTAGTAGCTTAAGTAAGTCTAGAAGTATTATATATAAGATAGCGCAACTAAGATGTTATTACTATTCTTATTACTATTCTTATTACTATTCTCGTTGCTATTCTCGTAGCTATTCTATAGCTATTCTTATAGCTATCCTTATAGCTATTCTTATAGCTATCCTATAGCTATTCTACAACTATTCTTACTGCTATCCTGCTACTATCCTATAGCTATTCTTACTGCTATTCTTATAGCTATTCTTATTACTATTCTTATTGCTATCCTCGTTGCTATCTTACTGCTATTCTTATCGCTATTATCGTAATATATCTTAGTATATAGTATTACTACTATTACTATTATAGTTATTTTTAGACTTACTGCTTACCTCTATTATATCCTAGAAGATACTTATAATAAGAGTAGTAAGTTAGCGTTAACGTTAAGAAGAAAGTAGAGGTTTAGTAGTCTTAACTATATTGCTGTTACTATCTTAGATGCTATTAAGAAGACTATTAAGTAAGTTTATATTATTAAATAAACTACTTAATATACTATGTAACTATTAAGGCTAAGCTAGCTTTACTTAAGTAAACTAAGTTAGCATAGAAGTAGTAGTTTAAGCAGGCCTAGAAGTATTATATATAAGATAGCGTAATACTATTAATCTTACTTATTACTTAAAGAATAGGCGTAGAAATAATAGCACATTTTTAAGGCGTATATCTTTGCTATCTAAGAGTTTATCTAGGTCTAAAAGATTATTCTTAGCATTAATATAGTTCTAATTAAATGCTTTAAGCATTTTAGTAATAGTGCAATATAATTTCTCTGCTATAACTAGTAAAAAGGCATTACTAATCTGCTTAATAGCATTGCCTTGCCTACTAATAAATTTATAGTTAATAGAAAAGCTCTAGAATAAACTTAGCTTATAAGATATATACTTGCAGGCGCTGTTATAGTAGTATTTTTCTTCTCTACTATTAGTTATAATGCATTCTTTAAGAAATAACTAAGAATTATAAGAATCTCTTTGCGTTCTAGTAAGCTTAGGTTAGTAATAGAAGTTATTTATAGAGTAGTTAGCAAGATGTTTAATAAAATAGAGAGCAGCTTTAATAAAGTACTAGAGCTTTAAACTACTACTAGAAGAGCTATAGATAGCTTTTAGAAAAGGCAGCAGAGGCGTACTATGCCTATTAGAAAGATTAGTTAACAGCCTACTACTTTAGTTATTAGACTTACCTTACTTTAATAATAAGAAGCTGCTTCCTCTGCTAAACTAAGCTATATTCTAAGAAATCTAAATTCTTCTAGCGTAAATCGTACCTAGCTTTCCTAATATTATAAAAGAGTATTAGAAAGTTAGCTCTATGCTAATTATAGATAGATAAGCTAGCTCTATGCTAATTATAGATAGATAAGCTAGAAGTCTGCTCTAACGTTATAACTCTAGGTTTTAATTTGTTAAGTATAGGTCCTATAGTATATATAGCTTTAAGATTCGCTTAGTTATTAAATCTATTAATAGTACTATTAGAG